TACCGGGTTTCAACTGCACAGTTTTTCATGTGGTTTATTACAAAGTCAGTCACAAGGTGGCGCTAGAATAATCCACTCATGTTAAGGAAAGAGTCATCATTTGTCATGGATATCTGTGTTAGCATTCATGTTTGCTTTACACATACATGTTATATGCCACAATTTCTGGAATCAAGTACTAGATTGATAACTTGCATTTGTCACTGAAACAAATTGAAAACGTACACAGCATGGACAAAGTAAATAATAAGACCGCACTGTTTAGATGCGTTTGATGATTTACCTGAATGTATATTGCCCCAAAACATAAGAACTTGTTTACATTTCCATCATAAATACAAAATAGTAACAACTCGATTTCGTTTCTATGCTGTTAGCTTCAAAATCGGTAACTAATCGGTAACTGATCTGAAGCTGGGGTATACGATGCATGATGAGTATGATTCGTGAGAGATTGAAGGAACAATAAAGAACAAAATACAAAGAGGTTTAAAATATAAAGCTGGGGTAATTAATCTTAGAGCATCTTGTGCTCTTTGTATGACGGATATGAGCACAATAAAATATCAATTATTTAGTTAATTACAATTCTTTTATTTCATTCCCTTGTGTCTGTTATTATTATTATTTTTTTCTGCATTTCTTCCCTTGGTCTTCAGTATACTTTTGGAGCGGACCTCGAGAAGGGTTTGATCCGGCCACTTACACATCACCTAACCCCACCGAACTTGGAGAAGAACTATTGTCCCAAAGCAGTCTTAACACCAGTCACTCCAACACTAAGGAAATATGTAGACCAGGTTATTCCCATCAAAGATCCTGTATGATAAAGCCTACATTGGCAGGAAGATGTGTGACTCCAGGGATGTAAATGGGGTCTTTATAATAGTCACTTCTAAAGTAAAGAGACAATCTGACCAAGTTATTTTCCCCTAAAGCTCCTGTACGATAAAGCATACATGTGCAGAAGGATGTGTTTCTCCGGTAATGTAAAGGTAGTCTTTATAACAGTCACTTCTACAGTAAGGAGACTGTGAAAGTTGTAATTTTGTATTTGTCAGTTAAAGTCATTTTATTTAGTATTTATTGATTTAGCTTGACATTGCAATAATAGAACAACAGAAGGCGTTTGGTCAAAGATTACTTTGACCAATCCTTAAGTTTTTCTAGTTTAAAGGTCAGAAACTGGTTTGGCGCCAACTGTTGTTGGCTGATTTGAAATGATCATGTTTGCAAAATGATTTCTGTTTTGTTAGGAAAATCTGGGGTTTTCTGGAGCATCCTTTGTTCCTGAGAGCTGTTTCTACAGTATTTTGGGGGCACAGACGTTAGTTAAACCACATATTTGAGCATTATGAAAATGAATGTAAAAAAGGTAGTTTTTAAGATGTTAACATTGTATAAACCTTACACAGTGGCACAGTAATTTGTATGGCAAATGTATAACATGTGTAAACTGTGTACCCACACATATGATATTACAATTACCTTCACAGAGATATCTTTTGAACATTTAATATGTCATTACATCTATAATTGATGTTTTGGTTTTGCTTGAAGTTGAAAGAAATAGTAAAGTTAAACGTATGATGCAGAAGAAGACATTCTACGATGAAAACGGATGAGGAATATGTTCCTATTTGTGTGAATGACAGGTCAAGGTCATGACTTTGTTGTGTTCCTTGACTTTGATAAAGTCATTCAAGCTCGTTAAATATGGTCACATTATTAGTTGAAATCGTGTTAAATCTGATTTAGACATGATAAAGATGATGCAAGTTTAATTGTGTGTTTACTGTGATAGTCTATATGAAATTTAAAGAGAGTTAGACACTGAATTCAGACAATGCCTTTGATTTAATAGAATGCTATAGCTGCTAAAATGTTGTGAAACTTATATTTATGAACACATACTTTTATATTATGCATTTCTGTTATGCTCTATCATGTACAGTTTTCACGGAGTGAGGGTACAGCGAATAATTAAACGCCAAGGAGAAGAAACCGACACTCCCGTACAAAAACCTGAGTCATTGTAATTATTCAGCCTCGCAAGCAGTCACAGAGACACTCAGACCAAGTTATTTCCACTATAAAGCTCCTGTACGATAAAGCCTAAATGTGTATAAAGATGTGTTATTCCAGTAATGTGAGGGTAGTCTTTATAACAGTCGATTATACAGCAAGGAGACACTCCGACCAAGTTATTTCCACTAAAACTCCTGTACGATGAAGCCTGTATCTGCAGGATGATTTGTGACTCCAGCAATACAGTAAGGAGACACTAGAACCAGCTAATTCCAATGAAAGGTCCTGCATTGCTTTTGAAAAATCGCACTTAAAACTTGCAATAATCTAGATATTTGCAGGTGAATTGCTTGCGAGTTTCCAATGTTATTACAAAGTTTTTCAACAGGACCTCTGGCATTCCCTGTGCAAGTCACGTGAATATTTGATTTGTACATAAATTCTTGCTGTTCCAAGCGGGTTGCTAATAGATCCAGTAGTACACTGAAATCCCCTTTAAAGGGATTAATCTACCTTTGCCTCGATCACTGTCTGTAAATGGGTACATGGCAGGACTCATCAAGATGATATTAATGGCAGCCATGCTAATAATCATTTAGCGCCAGACAATCTGACAGACATGAGGGCTTTACAAGATCCCACTGTTATTATTACTATTACAGCATTATTATTATTATCACATTGGCAACCCGGTCTCTAAATATGATGTCAGCCTCTTACATTTTAACCTTTGTTGAATGCAAGAAATTGTATTAATTATATTTTGATCAAAATATATATGTTTCATGCCTATCTTGATACTATATCACGGATTACATGTTCTGTCAGGCACCCCCATATAAGATAGGTCTACTATTCCATTAACATTTCAAAAAATGGAAAGTTTAGGTCATTCTCTCATTCAGACCAGTGGTGAATTGCAAAGGGATGACATCACAACATTCTGACCGCATTGCAAATTAGTCTCACAGATTCCAGGATTTTCATGATTTTGACGGATTCATAACTTTCTTCTTGATTGTCTGATTTTTCTCAAACTTTTAGTGAATTGTTTTTCAAATTGTTCTGCTTCTATTAAAAATAATTTAATATCAGGGTGAAATTCCCCTTTAAATGGTTTGCTTGATTCTTTACAAATGTCAATTTATTTCATCGTTAAATGAAAATTTCCTGTTCAAACCGCTGACTTATAGTTATTTTTGTTATTAACACCAGTGATCATGTCAAAATATTCTCATTTTTTGGGACAAAAAAAGGCATATTTCCTAAGCGATACATTGCATACAGAATCACCCTTAAGCAGTTTCTGTTTTCGAACAGTACATATATGGGAGTGCCACTATAGACTTTTGTCACACAAACAGTGTGTGTGTGTATATATATATATATATATATATATATGTATATATATATATCATTGTTGTCAGTTTATCATCTATAAGGGTAATCAAAGGTTGGGTAAAGACAAAAGCAAAATATATCTGAGAAACAAGTGGTGATTGATAGAAAATTAGGAACACTGAAGGAAATTGTTAATATTGAAACTTTAAAAAAGACGTTCTTAAAAGTGTGGGTAAAATGTGAACTGGCAAATCTGGCATGAGACTGTAACGTATTTCTAGTTTTTTTTAAAATAGTTTATCCAATTTTGTTTGATCAAATTTTCTCCTGCCCTTTTTTAAATTTGTATCTTAAAGCTTTCCAAATAGTTACTCCTGAAAAGATTTATTGCATTTGTATGACTGTTTTTTTAAATATTTTATTTTACTGTTATGTATTACAAATATACAACAAGCAACTAGGAAACGACAGGAGTGTATTAATCACGTAATGTCGAAACATTACTAATTTGGTAACGAATATCCCTATTACGATATTGTTTTCAATACCAAAAAGGTTAATTATGTGAAACCTGTGTTTAAAGGCCACTCAAGGGAGACAACAAAATCAGTCTTTATAAGCAGGTAAATCTTCATGTACATTTTGTATAACTTCCTCCAATAAATAACACATTTCGAGAGAAAAAGAAATAAACGAAGTCTTTCATTTAGAGGCTCAAAAACATTTCAGATTAGTGTTCTTTATAGCATCGTACTCGGATCGCAACATAAATCATGCCCATAGCTGGCGCTATGACCCATAATCATTGGACAAAATCACATCTCCAAACAGTGTATACAGTGCAGAAAACAAAATCAGCATAGAATGCTATAAACATGATATGAAAGAATACAATAAGCAAAGTTAGCAAACAGGTCAACAAAATACTAAAATATAAGCAGTGTTCTCAATATGGCAGTATGAAAGATATGTATATATGCATCTACAACTGATGTCGAGATGAAAATACACAAATTAGCATATTATAATACATCATATACCGACAGAAATGAATGAAAAACAGGATGATTATGGAACTGTAAGGCAACGGCATAATATACAACCTATGGAAGTGATCCTATGATTTTTAAATACATGTTTAACAGTATATATTAATACTAAATCAAAAGCAATCAAATATATATCAAACACTTTGTGATAAGTGGTTTATCCTATTTTTTCAAAAACCTTCCTACATTTGATTTTAGGTGAAGGTGAGATACATATGAATGACTCCTTTTTTTCTTCTTTTTTCAATGTAGATAGATTACGATCCTACATTTCTATGGATTATGGAACATCAACACTATACAGTGCGTCCCATAAGAAACGTAACCAAGAATTATCGATGTTTTGTCATAACTTAATTGCCATTATAATTAATAAATTACACATGTTTGTAAAGGCTTAGATCCTCCCCTTTCATTTGATGCAACTCATATGATGCATATTTCACGCATAAGTGATTAAAAATATTTGAAGAGAGGAATTAAAAAAAAAATCATCTGGCGGGCAGTATCTGAATTTCAAAGTTAAAACCACATTTCTAGAAAGTTCAATTTCTGTCCTTTCATATGACACCTCAATCGGGAAAAATGAGCCAGAAATAACAAAGTTTTATTTGTTTAAAGTAATGCTTGGATTTTCATAATTGGATTAAACGTGTTCGTTTTCACTTGCTGCCTGCCATAGCAACACACAGAGTTGACAAAAGACTTAACTCCGTTTTGTTTTGCATTAAGTCTTTGGAAGTAACGTTTGTATTTGTAATATCTTCTTTGACATATCTGCTTGCAATATTTTATATTTGTAAAGATTACATAAAATATTGAATATTTCACATGAAGGCCGTATTTCACCTAAGAATCTGATTTTACTGATGCCTTGTAACAAACCAAGATGGCAAAGATGATAAGATTGGCCGTCGCAACAACAAGAGCAATACCAAACGATATGAAGACTGTGTGCATCGAAGATGTGACATCATATATGTGCCCTGATCGAAATGAGATAAAGAGAACAGTTAAGTTACATAGTCATGTCAAAATAATAGAATCTGAATGTTATATTTTATCATTATCATATGAAACAATGATAGGCCAGTGATGTGGTTAACGTGATACGCCCCCCCCTCCCCCTTGCCTTCTGCGGTTATTTTAATTTAAAATGACCATGCTGGACCATACAGGCTTTATTAAAAGCCCTCATTGTTGCTATAACTATCCACAAATCGCTGAATCGGCAATACAGTCGCGACGGCTGCTGAGGTCAGATTTGGATTTTTACGCGCCTTGTGAATGATATCATCTTCCCGTTAACAATAGTAACTGAATGTGACATTTATGAATAATCCTGAAATATACTCTGTGTTGCTGAGATTTCCACAAAAAACACGCTATTTTAGGATCTGCTGCTGTACGTAAGTACTTGAGAACTTGCTAGCCGCCGCAAGTAACAGGTGTAATCATATTTAAAGTGAAAAATTATGCATGTGATTTTTAGAAATTACTTAAACTACACATTTTACTTATCTAGCTTATGCTTTTACTATAAAGATTTGACTAGTTAGTAATTATTTATTTTGTATGAACACGGCTTATTGTTTGTGAGTTCATTTTTCATGGACCTATATTTACCCTGGGCTGTCAACAATACAGTGATGCACTGACATTTTTTTGTGTATATTTTATTTGAAAAATTAAAAGGATAACACAGAAAACATTTTGAAATGCATAATCAGTACTTGCACTTGTATTTTCATTGGTAGTTTAGGTGGCGTCAATAAAACATTGTTTGTGAGGAGAGATAAGCATATTTCCCAACAAACCATAAGACAAAAATTTTCGCCCCTGACAGACATTTTAAAAGAGGAAAAGTAAAATTATGGAGAAGGAAAGGAGAATCCCATCTCTCTCTCTCGCTCTCTCTCTCTTCAGACCAAACCTTTTATGTGCCTGTTTAAATAAGTAGATTTAATCACCAATAATTAATCCGTGCATACCAGGGGCCTGTTTCATATAAATTTCAATGACAAATTTGCTCTCAGCCAATCAGATGCCATGATTTCAGTAGCTTATAACAGTAGCTTGTAACTTGTTATTGATATCAAGTTTAATGAAACAGGGCCCAGTACCACCTATGTATATATACCTGATATTGTATCTCCTGCTCCTACACCTACTGCTTCCAAGAAGAAAAAGAGGGAGAGTGCACTTGGTATATTCTGTGCATCTCTTACTGCTAGCTTCGCCATCACGGATGAAATAGTTCGAACCACGAACAGGGCTAACCCTTGAACACCTGCCATTACTGCTAAGAAGACAAACGTCGAGCTGAGTGTGTCCAAGAAGAAAGAGATGGCAGACACCAAGCAACAGAAGATGATGATGATTGTTGTGTCGTAGTTAAAGTGAAGGAGGACCAAAAAGACTATGCTTCCAACTGTACCAGCAATGCCTGCAATCGAAGACAAAAGTACGGCTCTTGATGGATCTATTCCCAAACCTTCTGCGTGAGGGACTAGGAATAAGAGCCAAACATAAAAGACGTAGTTAGCCAAGAAGACGGCAGGCATAACTAGTGTACATAATAGCTCTTCGACCAGAATGAAAGATTTTAAAAAAACTCTCCAACTGAGGGAAGAGAATGAAAGAAGTCTACTACCACCTGCATGTATTCCGTGTTTGAGCGTGAGAAGCCATCATTATCCGATTCAGTTCCCCAATTTGCACCTCCTTGATGCTTCTCGTTCTCTATGATAGAATGGCTATCACCTGATGAATGTGTGACCATAAGCTGCGTATTTTCTTCTGTACTCGAAGAGAGGTCCTTTGGTGGTCTAAGAATCATCGCAGAGACCACAGCATGAAGTGAGATCCCACCTAAGATGAGACAGGCACCGTCATAGCCATACGCTTCAAGCGACCTCTCGACAATAATGGGTACTGTGAAGACACCACATATGATACCAAACTGCGTTAGTGAGTTCGAGAAGATAAAGGACTTTGGGAAAAATCTGGCGAGGGTAACCAGTGTGGAGAAGACTGCCATAACTATTCCAAATCCTATAGTAAAAAAAGAGAAAGAAAATTGTAAATAAATCACATCTTAATTTTGATAATAATGTTGGTCTTAATGCATCAAACTCAACGTATTTTTTCTTCTTCTTCAAAGACCGGTTTATGGTTTTAATTATTAACATTGAAATTAATTTTAAAATATCTTTGTCTTCAAAACACTCAACAAACCTTATTTAGAAACATTACGGTTTCATGAGAATTAATAGGCGAATATCAATACCTCAAAGACAATAATATCTATTAGCATAACACAAATTGGGTATTTATTCTTTCAATAAATAGCAAGGTTCCGGAGAGTCTCGATGAGGGGTTAGGAAATGAAAGAAGAAAGGCTTGTCATTAACCCTTACTTTACTGTGGGGGAGGAGGCGTTCGCCATTGTCTTGATAACGTGAAGTACTATGTAAAGTCGTTTATCAAGTAAATGTATTCAAAATTGTTGCTGTGTGTGGTGATGAAGCATTTCATTCACCTGCTACTATCTTTTGTACTACAATTGCCAGAGCACTAATTGTATGAATTATCTGATGCTCTTCTCAACTGCTATAGTTTAGTATTTTTTAAGGAATTATAGTAACAATTTCCCCCCTGTTATATTTTGTTCACAAAACATAATTTCTCTCTTCTTAGATATGATTTTTCCTCATTGAAAAGTAAAGGTTTTGTTAATAAATTTTGAAGGAGGTTCATTGATTTTAAGAACTAACTTTATTGTCATTATTGCAAAGATGAAACTTGTTATATTTATTCACAAAATATAATTTCTTTCTTCTCAGATATGATTTTTCCTCATGAAAAATGAAAGGATAAGAAAATGAAGGAATATGTCGCTTGTAAACATAATAAGACGCCATTGTATTTTCAGCTGCATACACCGCGGTATGTTCGGCGTTTCAAGAGGTAACAGATGCTGTCCATGCTATTATTCCAGTTTTTTTTTCAATTTGAAATGGTTGTTTCTTTGATAGATCATTAACCCCTATCCTGTGTATTTACCAACAAAATAATTCAGTTATCAGAATCGGTTTCATATCCCTTTAGAATGGTGTAAAATTCCATAACATTTATATACACTAAACTCATTATAATTTGAGAAATAAGAGCATTGCAATTGTGTTCATTCTTTATGGGATGTCGTCTGCTTGGGCATGATTAGTTCATATTGTGAAGGCTTTAAAACATCGTCATTTTTCTGGCGATTCTCTCGCATATCTCAGATGCTATGGAGGTGGTTTTATTTATATTGTTTTATAAATCACCCGATTTGTAGTTGACCTAAAACTTGTACGATAGCCATCTGTTACATTACCAGTTTTTAGTTATACGTTATTTGCCATATTTGTGATTTTCTTTAAACAGGCACTTCAAATTCTTTCCAATTAAAGCTTGGTACATGGTACATGTATAACTTCACATGGTACGTCACATTTTCAAGAAAATAGCTGAGCCCATGTCATGCTAAAAGGCATCAAATCATGCCCATAATATCTTAATTTATATATCTCTTTTACATTTCGTTAGAAATATTGTACACAAAAGGGCAGGAATACATCTAATTTTTATTCTTTGGGATGAGGTTTCCTTTAAAACCCATTATCTAACCGACATGATTGTGATATGTCGAATTCCTTAGATGGGTTATTTTTAAACAGTTCCGGGAAGATATCACAGTCAAAATAAAAAAAAAGGAAAAATATCGTGGGGTATTGCATAGCTCTAACCGTTGCGATTTAATGAAAAGGTAACAGATAAATCGAAAACTGTTAATCTAATTACAATTTAGTCTTCATAAAGATTTAAGGTAGTATACATAGGCTTATACACGCGGCTCGTTTTCTTCCCCACGTGCATGGCCCTTTACATAACTGATTGCTATCATTGCTATGTTAATCCATTAGGCAACAAGAGGTATTTGAAATAATAACAATAGAGGGCAATGTATATTGAGCAGGGCAGTGGCGGTTCGGGGAGGGGGTTTCAAGCTTCTGAAATTGTTTTGCAAAGCAAGAACCCCCAGGTCCCTCTCCAACCACCCCCCCCCCCCTCACCCAAAATTCATTATCATTATTATTATCATTATTATTATTATTAGTAGTAGTAGTAGTGGTATTATTATTATTATTATTATTATTATTATTATTATTATTATTATTAATATTATCATCATTTAATATTATGATGATTATTATTATATGCGGGACAGAGAGACAAGGAGAAGTTGGCCTAATGACGTCATGTTTTGTGACCATATCATAACCAGGAATTACACGTCTACTTACCTGTTAAAGATATCAGTATACCGAGTTCAAAGACTGAGTTTGCAAGCGGGGCGCACATTATAGATATTGCGGCCAGTAGTCCACCGAATATTCCTAAAGTTCGAGGCTTCATCACTTTCAGCAGGACATTAGCAATGGGAGCTATTGGGGTTAAAGAAATAAAAATTAAGAAATATAATATACATGAATTTAAAAAATCACAGCGACAAGTTATAATGCTGCATGTATAAATGTTGTTGTAGCACAAAATGGTGAAGCACATGCTTCATAATTGTAGACTTATTCGGCAATTATTAACAAGCATTCTAATTCTGGCTATAAAGTATTGTTTCATGTTTACTACTAATTTGTGTTTACATGTCCAAGTTTTGCTCCACAGTATATAAATACACTTGTAAGAACGAATATATAGTACATATTAAGTTGGTTCACTTAAAACAGACGATGAGAGTTAGAGATCAAATAACGTTATGTTTTTTTCCTTAGTTTTAGGTATTCTGTAATTTCCTATACTTCTACGTGCAAGAAAAAAGATATTCATTGGTATTACCAATATCAATGGATATCGTCTTAGAAGCAGACACAAATATACTGGGTCGGTGGAAGATCGTATTAACTTAATCGTGGCAACTTGATCTAAGTAAGAGCGTAAGGACAACTAATGGTGTAAGTCAAATATTCATGGAATATTTATTGCTGCACGGAAAAACTTACGCCGACTTGGCGGCCACGTCTGAACATGGCTAATGTTCGAGTCCCGCCATTCCGTTCACTTGAACACTTCCTTTCACTTCCATTGTTTATAATAACGTAAGAAAACTACTGTATATCAATATTATGAAGGATTTCGATGTCATGGTATATCGTATATATTATGCAGACGCGTATTTGTATGTGTGTAAACCCCCCTTTGCTTGTTGTTTGTTTTTTTTAATAATAAAAAAATAAAAAAATAAAAAATAAATAAATTATTGCCATGCTGACCTAAAAAAGGTGACCTTACCCCCCCCCCCCCCCCCTAACGAAGCAAAATGTCAAATTTTCAAATTTCGAAAAAAAGAAAGAAAAAAAAGTGACCTCTTACCGCCCCCCCCCCCTTGCCTCCCCCCCCCCCCCCCCCCCGCTTATTCAGCGGCTGGCTGAGTCGTTGCGAAATTTTCGGCCCGATTTAAAAATGTTAACCCCCCCCCCCCCCCCCTTGAAAAAATCCTGCGTATGCGCCTGATATTATGTATGTCAAGTTATCTTTAGTCTTTGTACGTTTATATATTGTGAGGAAATCAAATTTCCAATATCGGACAATCAATTGAGATTGAAAAAAAGGAAAATAAAATTAATTATATTACCTGTCATAAACATCAGTGAATGCAGACTGCAGATAAAAGCAATTGTCTTGTAGTCACTATCGTACCGCTCCACCATCTCGGGAATGAGAACTCCAAACGATTTAGCCATTCCGCCATCCACAAAGAGGACTAGACACTTACTGAGAACTATGGCGTACCGCTATGGATCTTGGGAATCATTCAGATGTTTATTTTGAGCCATTGTTGTTGTTGTATGGCGCCCTTGATGTTGTTGTAAAGAGACACGAAAAAAGAGAGTAGGAGGAAAAAACTAATTCTCGCTACTCTAAATAGGTACGAAAATCTCGAAATTCGCGAGACGAGGTAATTTTCTCTCTCTCGGGTCGTCACTACAACTTCCGGTATAGAGTCCCATCCCGCTGGCGCTAGCGCCTGTGTTCGCTGTGCAGAGTTTTCACGCACGCTAAAATCAATGCCAATCAGTGTAATTTGTACAGATTATAATATATGCATTAAATTTAGTTTGTTTTTATTCAATTTGAATATACAATAAAAAGCAAAAAATAGTTTACAGGAAAGATTTTATTTTTATTCATGTTTTTTTTCTGTTAATCTAAAAGTTAAAAAAAATAAGTGTCTTAAAATTGTGCATGTAGCGACCAGCGTCACAATCACGAGCAAACGATACAGTAAACAGTGTAGAGACAACACTCAGTTCATGTATTTCTCGTCGACCACAAAATGAATAAAAAAAACAGTTTCGGAACTTAAAAAAATCTTAACGGACAGAGGAATACCATGCAATGGAAAGCTTCGGGCAGAATTAGTGACTTTAGCACAAAAGGCCGTTAAACTCTACCGTGAAAGAGAGGGTTGTGATCACGAACTTTCCGAGCGAAAGCGACGCTGTGTTGTTGTGGAGGACGGCACAGGAAGCTGTAATGTCGAAAAGCTATCCCATAATGCAATGCGCGTTTTCAAGATTTTCCCCGGATCTCGGCAGAATCGCTATTTGGGGTAGCGAGAATATGTGAGCCTTTATTACTGGTTTTAGGTTTACAAGCCTTATTATCCATAGCTACAAACGTAGCTAAGTTTTAAGCGACTGAGAACTCCGTCTTCAGACGACGAAGTGCGAGGAGAAAGCGGCAATTTTAAAACGAATGAGGGATGCGCCACACCCATCAGAGTGTTAACAAAGCTGACTCTCACTCTACGCAGGGAGGTGATAGAGAAGGAGTGGAAACTCTTGTAATTTATTGAAACGCATGCGTGAGTTCTAAGCGTAACACTAGGGACTTTTAGATTGAGTGGACGAGAACACGACGAACGCCGACTGATCATGCGTGTCAACGTACTCAACTGCCCATGTTGACTACAATTAGAAACCTTTTAAATTTCACATGTCACATGCATATGCACCAGTTCTACACATTTTTACATAATAGCAGTTATTTCGACATAACTATAAACTGCTGATTTACATTTTGATATAGTCCTTACGAGCAGTTCGTGCATGCAGCTGCTCAAATTGGTGTAAACTGTGATAACGGCGAGGTCTACTTGAATCTTTTGAATAATAATTCTAGCCGAATTCGTAACCGTCCGGCTCTGATTGCATCAAAATCGGCTAGTTTGCCAAATCTAATAATGGTAATTCTTGATATCAAGAAATATGTTTTAATGATAAAACTGCTTGCCATAAGATCGCGCCAGCTCGCCACAACTCGAGGCTCCAACTCGGCTAAGTGGGAGCCCTGCTTTACAAGTCTTTGGTATGACTCGGCCGGGTTCGAACCCACCACCTCCCGTTCATGCGAAAAGCCCTTGCCTCCCCCCCCCCCCCCCAACAAACCTAAAAAAAGAGAGAAGGAAATGAAGGGAAAGGGAAAGAGAGAGAAAGGGAAATATTTTTTTTTTTTTAAAGAGAAAGAAGAAATACTTTTTAAGCCTTTTTTGAAAAAAAGTATATACTAAAGAGAAATAGAAAGAGAGAGAGAAAGAATGAATAGTGACCTGCCAGTGTCACAAAATAATGAGGTATCAAAATATGTTTTAATGATAAAACGGCTTGCCATAAGATTGCGCCAGCTCGCCAAAACTCGAGGCTCCAACTCGGCTAAGTGGGAGCCCTGCTTAACAATGGGACCTTCTGCCTTCTAGCTAGGCGCTCAGCATATTAGATTAGAGAAGGGTAGTAATAACAAACTATGTTATGCAGGGCCCGCTGGAAGAGCAGTTTCATAACTGAAGTGGCTACCCCCGGTAAATAAAACGTCACTGAAAATTCACTTTGCATCACTCTGACACTCGTCATTTGCCATGTACACACGTTCGGGCATATTTGATTCTAAACTTTGCGAGAGAGCGGAACCCTTAGAGATAACCTGCGGCACCCCGGTTAAAAATGATAATCGTCAAGATTTGAGGGGGGATTGACCAGGTCGTTAGGGTAAATACTCCTTGCCGTAAAAGAAAGCAGTACATTTTGAGAATCAGACAGGTGACATTTTGAATAAAATCGCGCAAAAATTATGAAAATTAATTAAATTGTAATTACTAGACGTACGGGCGATGAAATTGGCTAATTCAATAATTTGAAGGTCGGTAGTGTCGGACAACTTTCTTTTTGTTGTATCAACCCACACAACTATTATCGCTTGTATAAATTGATGACTCAGGAAGGCCTTTTCTAGTGATTTTCTTTTGATAATATATTTTAGTAGTGCCCAAGGCGAGAAGGTATACTTAGGAGGAAAACAGAATTAAGGATATCTTTGTACACGACAAATGGGAGTTGTACGTAACGACATCATGACCATTACATAAATTGTCAATTTGAGATTCACATTGATTAAGGGGTTGTATGTATATTCATTCATAACGCTCGTATTACTGTCTTGTCTGATTTATTTCAAACTTTTTTCCACTCTGATGTTCCTTTTTTGCTTCCATACAAGTGAACTTACTTACAATTAAAAGGTTGGACTGCCATCTTAATTATCACAGTAAACACGGCACGCATGGAAATATGAATAGCACCATCTAGGGCTAATCATTGTTTTGCCAAAGCAGTTTTGCCAAAATAACCTCCCTTTTTCGATTCAAGGTAGCTCTCATTTTCTTCCATATTTTCATATCAACAAAATACTCAATTATTTATGAATATAAACAAAATCACGAAGGGCATATCGTCTGTTTTAAAACACGAAGAAGACGTAAGTTAAATAATTACAATTATTGGGTTATTCCGGTCCGCCTTAAATATAGATATGAGAACGAAAGAGATTCAGAGAAGTAAACATGAAACGGGAAAGAAAATATAAGAAAGGGGAAATGAATTGAAGGTAACGAGGTTGTAAACATACTCCAACAAATTACAAGACAGTTCAAAACAGTTATACATAAAGATACTGTATATATTACAATACACGAGATATAACTGAAAGAGCAAGGTTAAAACTGATACTGAAAATATTATAATCAATCAAAAACAAACACGCAGTCCCATCCGGCGAACATTGTGCTGTTTTGTTTGATTTTTCTCTTGGAAATGTAAATAAAACTGAAACTACATCGAATTATTTGTTTTGTAATCTTTGCAGGCTTCCATTGTGATTTGTGAAGATAGATTTCAGCGAGGTTTGTGATTGTATATACCACGTATTCTTTCAACATGGTTAGTTGGCCCTGGAAGTGCCCACTCATGCTCTATCTCGATGTTTCGATAGGTTGTATCTATCGTCTTCTATTTATCATGAATACGTGGTGTACCCGCAAACCTAGCTCAAATATATACTTTGTATCATCACGAAAATAAAAAGAAACACAATTATAGCTGACCGTAAATAGAATATTAAGTAATAATTGAAAAAATAGAAGATAGAATGAGTGACAATTAATGAGAGCTGTAAAGCATTCATTCATTTTTTTATATTTTTTACTAAGCGCATTGTAAAATCTCATGGCATCTAAAATATTAACTTGCCTTTACACCAAGAGGGCGCACTAAATCTTGCCTATTCTTTATAGAGCGTCATAATAAGATTTCACTCCGAGTTTATAGAGTATGATGAAAATGGTACATGTACATGTCAATTGCAAGTGTCTTTTGTATATAATAAAGTGGAAATGGTGGCAGTTTTTGTTAATAAAGTTACGAATAATATACGGTGGTATGTTTTATTGAATTTTTAAAAGGGTTGTCAAGAATAATATGAAGAGCAATTCATTAAAGTCGAGCAATGTAGTTACCGTAAGCGCACCACCCCTATCTCTCTTCCTCCTGCTTCTCCCTCTCTCTTCATCTTTCTGAATTATCTCCCTCTATCAATCTTTATAAAGCTCTTAATATTCCTCTTTCTATGTTGCCCTATATGTCTAAAGGATTTAATGACTGTTATTTTTTACTTTTCATTTAATATTATGTATTACAAATATACAACGAACAACTAGGAAACGATAGAAATGTATTAATCATGTAGTGTAAACACATTTATAATTTAATAAAGAATATCCCTAGTACGATATTGTTTTCAATACCAAAAGGTTATTTATGGAAAAACCAATGTATAAAGGCCTCTCAAGGGAGACAAGAAAATCAGGCTAGTTATATAGGTTTGTCATCATTATGTATAACTTCCTTCCATGAGAAACGCTCTTAAAGGAAATGATAAACATCTAGAGTCTTTCTAGACGGGCGATCTTATTTTTTTTATACAGTTAAAACATGGTGATACTGTGTATTGATAGACGATGTAAGTGTCGACCATCATGTAAATAGTAATTCGCCAACAATGTGTTATGATGCCTTTTAGTATGAAGTCATAATAACAAATACATCTAGAGGCTCAACATATTTCAGATTGGTGTTTTTATTAGCATCATATTTATTATCAACATACATTGTGTCGATAGCTGGCGCTATAAACTATGTCATTACAGAAAGTCACATCTCCAAACAGTGTATACAGTATAGAAGAAAAAAATCGGCATAGAATATAGATATGACAGAAGATAAAGCAAACAGGTCATAAACATTTAAAACGGATATTGAATCAACACAATACAAAAATGGAAGCAGGTTTCACAATATGGCAGTATGAAAGACATTTACATATGTATGTATCTACCATATGTCGAGATGAAAATACAAAAACACAAGCATATTATAATACATCATATACCGACTGAAATGAACGAAAGACAAGATGGTTATGGAATAGTAAGGCAACGGCGTAATATACAACTTATGAAAATGTTCCTGTGCTTCCTGTATATTAATGTATAACAAATATCAATACTAGAATAAATGCAATCAAAGCTAGATATCGAACACATTGTGGTTTATACTTTTTTGGTTAAAATGTTGACCTCTCTATTTCTCCGATGTTAAAGGTACTATATCCCATTTGCAGGTCCAAAAAATGAAAAGGATAAATTCCAACGGCATTTGAAAGATAATACTAATTTAGAACTTCCCTAAAAAGGGGAGCTTGAAAATGTCTTTAAGTGGGAAAATAACGACTATTAGTTGTCGAATCGACTTAAGAGCTATAGAGCCAGTAAGTAATAGTCTGATTTTCAGACCATCGTTCCGAATGGTCGTACGTTTAGTGCTGCGCAAAGATTCAATCAGTTTCATTTTGGCCATTACAAGAAGTGGGTTATTGCTGTAGAAAAATGCTCATGTACCATTTACAGCTCATGTTACGTATGTTATTACCAAAGAAGAAAAAGGCCAGTCAGTCACTCAATAGTGTCTGACAGTGAAGTCTAGCAAGTAAACGGGTTTCCTTGCATGATTTGAACATTAGGACACTGCAACGTTTACATGTAACGGATAGGACATACCTGACATATTCATAATTCCTGCAAAATTCTACATAATTTGATGTTGGCTGCAAAAGGGACATAGTATCTTTAAAACTTTCCTACAAATGACTTCCTGTAAAGGCTAGAGGTATTTATATGATTGTCATGTTGCATTTTTTTAAAGGAAAAAATATACGAAACTTGTTGTACCACATTTATATAGATTATCTAGCAGAGGTCAAGAAAGAGACCTTTTCCAATCAAGGTGCCTATTCAAACTATAAACAACAAATAATATAGTCTTTGTAGACGGGCGATCATTTGTATACAGTTGAAGCAGGGTAGACGCTGATGCTGTCTCCCATCATGTAAATACTCACTGGCTAATAATGTTAAACGATGTCTTTTAGTATGGAGTTATAATAACATTTTCTTTTAGAGGCTCAAAACATTTCAGGGTGGTGTCCTCTATAGCATCATACTCCGATCTCTACATAAAGTGTATTGATAGCTGGCGCTATAACATATATTATTACATCAAACAGAGACAGAAAATTACATCTCCAAACAGTTTAAACAGTACATAAAGAAGAGAGCATGGAATGCTGTTCACAGGAAATGACAGAAGACAATACGTATTAAAACAGGTCATAAACATTAAAGACGGATATTAAATCGACATAATTAAAAGATATAAGCAGATTTGACAGTATGGCAGTATGAAAGACATTTGAATATGCATACACATGTATCTACAACAATTGACGAGATGAAAATACCAAAAACATATTCATAATATAATGTACAATATATCAACTACAAAACACATAATTATTGCAATTGTAAGGCAACGTCATAATAGCCAGCTTATACAGTAGGCTTACAGTTCCCCAATCTGCAAATCTTTCTTTCTTGAGTGTGTGTAGTCCTAAAAAGGAATGTTGGTAGTCCTGAGAAGGACTGTTGGTAATCTTTCTTGAGTTTCTAGTTCTAAAGAGAACTACATAGCGGCTGTAAGTGAGGGTGGGTAGAAGGAGGGGCTAAACATTTCAAACAAATTGAGTATCCACCGTCGGGATAGGAAATAATCCTGTGCTTTCCATGTACATGTACAACATGTTAATACTAGAATAATGTTTTAAGATGTAATTTAATAACGAATACATTTAGAGGCTCAACAACGATTCAGGTTAGTTGGTGTCCTTTATAGCATCATATTCGGATCGCGACATACATTTTGTCGATGCTGGCACCATAGCCCATATCATTGCACAAAACAGAGACAAATTCACATCTCTAAAATGTTTTACAAACAAAACAAACATATAATGCTATACACAGGATATCACAGGACATAATAAGCCAACAGGTCATTGTACATTAAAAATGGATTAAAATACTAAAAGCTACCTCAAGTGTTATTAACAAGTCATTATGATTAGGGTCCATTAACACTAAGTTTATCACTTGATCTTACGATTGAATTTTGCGAATGATTGCATTGATCACTATGTGCAATAAATTAAAAATTGTAACGAGTATTTACAAATGATGAGACACTTTTGACGGGACTGTATAATTAGATACTGTTAATACAAGTACCACCTCATAAAACTTGCATCATCAAAATACATTGAATATTCTGGCAGGGACAAACAGAATACTTGCTCATCGCCCTGCTTGAGCTGACGCTGCTACGTTAGGATATTAAGAATTCAATCAGAGATGGTGAAGAAATATCCAATCTACAAAATATAAAAATGGAAGTAGATTTATCAACATTATATCTATGCACAAACCTATATAAATTGTTGAGGAAAATAAAATTATGAGCATATGATATTACATCATATAGCGACCGAAATGAATGCTTGAATGACTGGTCACTTTTGACTGGACTATTGATACAGCCAGTACTATAATGAGCAGAATAACTGCCTAATTAAATCTTTATCATAAAATTAAAATGGTATCTAAATAAAAGATAAGTACTTGCAACTTCAGAACATTAGAATGACAATCAGAGAGATGAACCAGTATCAAATTAACACAATACAAAAATGGAAGCAGACTGATTTAACAATATAGCAATATGAAACATATTATGCATGTCGAGATACAAATACACAAATATAAACATATTATCATACATCGTATAATGACTGAAATAAATGAAAACAATATGATTATACAATAGTACTGCTTAATATACAACTTATGGAAATGACCCTGAGCTTCCGATATACATGTACATCAATTAACGTAAATAGTGCATTAAATGCAAGCAAAGCTGTACATGAAACATGTTTAATCAGTAAAATGGTAACAAAAATAACTCTAAAGATCGCACCGACATGTGCCGTTAGAACATGAGAGAAAACAGACTCAACGGGTAGAACATCAAATTAACATAATTTAACGCCAATATTACAATCTATATATAAATGTAAAAACAACTTTACGTTCATTTGTTCTGACCAGTGTAGAGCAAATAAGAAATAACTATATTCAACGCTTATGTATGTCCACAATATAATGTTTATTGAGTTTATCCCATGCCAACAACTGTTCATTAATTTGCTGCACACTTTGTTCGGCTTCTATATTTGGGTAGCACACTAATATTTCACATGTATAAACATGCATATTGCATATATACACGCACGCTGAAAGACTCATTTATTGCACCATATCTTGTATAGATATTTCACACATTACAAATATTTCTTTCCATTCTCTTTCTGTAATATAATGATATTCGTCAACCTACAACAATCGCTTACAGATGGAGGTGGGTTATTGTTATACGATTACATCGTCAAAGGAAATGACCGCAAGCTATTGGAAAGGTTATGCTGCACATTACCGTATATAGTGAGGTTTGGGATCATCATATCAATAAGAACATTTTGACTTAGTCTTGCTGAAAGCCACATGGACCGTACTCAGATATGGATGTATGGGACTACATAAAAATGTGGTATGAAATTATGTCCGAGATTTGTATTAACATATAATTATATCGACTATGAGAGAACATTTAGTGATCCATTTTCTCAGGGTATCCTTTTCCGTGGTGAATTTCCCAACTTTCAAAAGAGAAGAATGAAGTCAACTCACAACTTATTCTATGCCTTTCCCATAAATCAACTTTCGATCTAACATAAGGCACAGCAACGACATGGCGTCTTACGGTTTGTCTTCTTTTTTGTCTCCTTTGGAGGTCTAAGCAGACCGTCATCTTCGGAACCATGGCTCTTTGATTGGTTGTCCCCTTTTGTGTCATCTTCATCGATAGAGTCAGTCTTACGGCTTGTCTTCTTTTTTTGTCTCCCTTGGAGGTCCAAGCAGACCGTCATTCTCAGAACTATGGCTCCTTGATTTGTTGTCCACTCCTATGTCATCTTCATCGGTAGAGTCGGTCTGTCGGTTTGTCTTCTTTTTGCTCTTCCTTGGCTGTCCAAGCAGACCTTCCTCCTCGGAACCTTGGCTCTTTGATTGGTTGTCCCCTCTTGTGTCATCTTCATCGGTAGAGTCAGTCTGTCGGTTTGTCTTCTTTTTGCTCTTCCTTGGCTGTCCAAGCAGACCTTCCTCCTTGGAACCTTGGCTCTTTGATTGGATGTCCCCTCTTGTGTCATCTTCATCGGTAGAGTCAGGCTTAGGATTATTTGGGATGCCTTCCCCTCTATAAGTACATGAAAAAAAACATCAATCGATACAAGTAGAAGTTGAGGGAGGTTAAATATCATTTTAAAGCAAAGTTTGTATTTCACTTAAACACTAATGATGAAAATAATAATAGTAATAATAACAATAGTAATATACAGTAGGCTTGCGGGTGCACCATGTGTGAGAGAGAGGGACGATATAGTTCTCCGTAGAACTATAAGCTAAAAAAGATAACCAGCAGTCTTTTTCAAGACTATACCAAACAGTCCTTTTCAGGACTACAAACCCTCAAGAAAGATAACCGAGAGTCCTTTTCAGGTCTGGCCTCCTCAGTCCTCCCTCTCTCTCACATGGTGCACCGGCAACCCCACTGTATATCTACATCACCATGCAAACCGACACTTACAAGCAGCATATAACAATAGTAATAGTGCTCATTTCAACATTTCTACTGTTAAACAGGTATAAAGCATGACAATATGACCTCTATTTAAAAAGAATACTTTTATCATCCTGTATAAATCACAATAACCGGTTTCGGAATGTCGATTATTCCAATATTCAGGATTCTAAGGGAAAATTAAATTTCAACAACTTAAAGGATATTGCTATCTTAAACTAATTAATATAAAATAGCATAAATATTAAGAGAAATTTGGGAAGGCTTAACGATTATCAAGATGATTAATAAATACATTGACAACAAGATGAACCATTATCAACTTATTACATCGTTCATAATTATTGCCCATAACACAAGAAAGTCATTAACATCTATTTTTAAGGAATAGGTTGGAGGATGATAAGTAAGTGTGACATTAAAGATACTATGTCACTTTTGAAGCCAACATAAAATTATGTAGAACTTTGCAGGAATGATTAATATGCCATGTATGTCCTATCTGTGAAATGTAAACATAAGCAGTGTCCGAGTATTCAAATTATGGAAGGAAACCGGTTTCCTTTTAGACTTCACTGTCAGACACTCAGTGACTGACTGACATTTTCTTTTCGTTGGTAATAACATACATAAACTGAGCTGTAACATGTATAAGTTATTTTATAATTTGTCATGGGGTAATAGAGCAAAAGTGAAAAAGGAAATCATGATGAATACTCTTCAAAATGGAGGCATGAATATGGTTGACATGTGTACACAATTTATGTCGGTACGAATAAAATGGTTGTTTAGCTTTCTAAGTTTTAAAAAACTCCAATAAAAGAAAGGGGTATTGATTATTTGTGTTAGTATTGGATTGAAAAACTGGGAGGGATTGGTATTACTATAAATTGTAAATAATACTTAGGTGATTGCAATAATTTAGGTCTAATCGACAAATAATGATCATTATTTTCCCACTAAAAGCCATGTTCAAGCCCTTTCATTTTGAAGGAACTCTAAATAAGTGTTGTCTTTCAAATTCCGTTGGAAATTAAACTTTTTATTTTTTGCCCTGCAAATGGGACATCGTACCTTTAAGGTATACAAATTGTCATAGCGAACAACAAGTATTAGCGTGTGTGTTATGGTTCTCTTACTTTGGTTGTAGATGATCTCTCGTTACTGCAGATGGACCTGTAAGGTGAGAAAGAGAGAGAGAGAGTTGATTAAAGATAGTAAGAGAAAAATAATGATTTGATAAATAGACAGAGCAAGAGAAATAGGAAGATAACAATATGAGGAATCAAATTGTACATGACGTGTTTTGTACACAGTTAAAGCATGGTCATACTGTCTATTGGGAGACGGTGTAAATGTCTACCATCATGCAATTACTCACTCGTCAATAATGTTTTATGATGACTTTTAGTAGGGAGTCCTAATAACGAATACATGTCGAGGCTCAAAACAATTCAGATTGGTGTTCTTTATAGCATCATATTCGGATTCGGATCATATTCGGTGGAAGAAACGAGATTTAACCATGTTTGGCAAAATTTAATTTGTTGAAAATATAGGTATTTTCAAAACTAAATTATATTTTGTCTTTTATGACAGTCCCACAGAATTTGTTTGAAAAATTGAAAGGATTTCTTTTAATTTTATTTGGGAAGGGAGAGACAGAATAAAAGGGAAAATACTATATCAAGATTACTGCGCTAGGGGACTCAGAATAACGAACCTTGAGGTATTTGTCAAGACTCAGAGAATAATGTGGATCAAACGGTTGCTCTATGGAGAAAAGTATTCAGGTTGGAAAGTAACCTTTGACCACTTTTTTCAGATCACTGGGGGGGGGGGTCGAATTATATTTCTTTGTAATAATGATATAAATAAATGGACTTGAAGGGTAAACCATTGTGTTATAAAGACATGTTGAAAGCATGGCAAGAATTAGATAAATGCAGACATTCTAGAGAAATGAGAATAATCCCATTATATTTAGTAATAAGTGTGTATGTCTCAGCAATACAACATTTTTTGATGTCGAATTACTTCAGAAAGGTATACTTCAAGCATCAGATATAATCGCCAGAGGTCATTTAAAACCGATCTTACATTTTTTTTAATCTGGGTTTTGCAACTGAAAGCTTGCTTAGAATTCAAATGGATACAAAGTGATTTAATGGAACCGGACATTGAAAATTTTGAAACCGAATTGATGATATTTAGACGTTTACAGAAACTATGTGATATAAAGTCTAGGCGGCTATATGATTACTTCATTGAAGAACTTCAAAAAGGGTATACATTACATGTTACAGACGGTAACTGTCAATTTGATCTTGGAATGACGGAGTTGAAAGAAACATTCACAAGGATGAAATGTGCAATGTTATGTATAAAAACAAAGATAGTTTCAATACAAACACTTACAAGGGGGCTGTATATAGGAAAAGAGAGCTCTTTAAATTTGGTTTTGAGACGGACCATTTTTATTCCTTTTGTAGACAGGAAGTAGAGACATGCCAACATTTATTTTTAGATTGTCTTAAAGTTAAATGATTATGGCAGGAGGTAATTAAAAAGTTACATTTAATCGAAATTCACAGTGATGATTGGAAACCCATTTTTTATGGGAATATCCGGCAATACTGCTAGAATATTTGTAATAAATTGTATCATATTTCTTGTAAAGTATTTCTAGAAAAAGAGGAACTCTGCCTTCTGTACAGAAAGTAGTACATATGCTGAAAGATTACAGAGACGAGGAATACAAAATACCCTTCGAAAAGGGAAAACTGGGGATACACTTACAGAAATGGGAACAAATCGATGCATTTTTACTTTAAAGGTAAAGACCAGTATTGGCAACGCCCCAATTTCAAAAAATGAAATGGAAGCTCTCATTACCAATCATGTGAAAGAATATGTTTTGACTAATACATGATGATAAAAAATTTGCCGGGAAACCGCCTACTAATTCATATATTTGGTAAATTTATTTCTCTCATGGTCTGGTGAGAGAGATAGGGTAGTCCCATATACATCTTTCTGTGTATAGTGCTTGTAACTTTACGAAGAATGAGCCAAATTTCTTATCATTTTGATGATTCCAGAACCTTGCAGATGCTAGATGCTAGATGATCGACCTTTTCTGATCGATTCCACAACGTTTCTTTCACAATGCAATCGCATGACCATTACTGGTCTTTACCTTTAATGGATGTGGGTATTATTTAAAAAAAAACAATTCTCTCTTGTACAGGTGGACAAACCGGAACAGGGTGCATGCAGTGTGTGTGTTGGTGTGAGATGGGTGGGGTAGAGAGAGAGAGAGAGAGGGGGTTGTCATGAGTATGTGTGGTGCGAGTTGAGGTTGTGCGAGTGTGGGATTGGGTAGAACTGTAAAATGGATACCTTCATCTAAGGCTATTTTGATTGTACATGTTTTCTTTCATGTAGCAGTTTATAATCATGTATAATTTGAGATTTTTCTATGTTAATTAGTTATTGATTTATGTAATTTGTGCAGCGTTTTATATTGAAGATCTTGTTTTGTATTAAAAAATGAGATCATTTTCTGAAATGTGAATTTCATGAGGAAGGAAATAAAATATCATTTAATTTTTTTTTTTTTAAATTTAATTAGGAGACTAAATTTCGCATCTCAACGAAAAGGCATTCAGAAAAAAGCCATAGAATGCTGCAGCTATACACATGATATAACAGGACTTATTAAGCCAACAAGTCGAAGACATTAAAGACGGATTAGAATCTCGGGATCCATGATGGCTCTTTGTTTGTTTCTCCTCTCTTGTTCTTTCATCGGTAGAGTCACTCTTTGTCACACTGTGTAGTAGTGCACAAGTGTGGTATTGATTGATATAATACTTGAATTGACGACTCGCATACTCACAGTGTGAAGATCATTACATTAGTATTTGTTGGAAATTATAATTCGGGCTAAATATTTTTGGGAATCACTCTCTCTCTCTTTACATTCCCCTTCTCTCCCCCTCTTTCTGTATCTTCAAGACATGTGCCATACGCATGATTATTGATCCTAACGAAGAGATCTTTTTTAATTAATGAAAACAGTGGCGTTATCTAGGTGCCATTTTGTTCATTTATATTATTAAACATGTTTCCGTCATACTTTTTTCCTTCTGAATAAAATTTAATATGCATAAATTTTGCGTCAATGGTTAACTTTTGGTCACGCCGCTGTTCGTGCGAATTGGTCAAATTTAACATTTCAAAATTTCGGGCGCACGTTTTCGCGTTTTTTCGCGCGTTTTTGCGTGTGCCGTCCGTACTGAATGTATTAAATAAATTGTGTTGACTTGTATTGTGTTGCTGACTTTCGTTATTTCTCATTTTTAAAAGGCTGTATGTATTAGGTCCTTGGGACATGGAAAATTAGGGGTCACCAGCAATTCTAAAGAGTTAAAGCGGTTCTTGTTTGTACCACTTTTGGCAATGTTTGCATGTGCGCGCGTACGTTGAGGTTTAACGAACGTCCACGGGCTAAATTAAGATCCATTATAGCTAAAAGTGATTTGAAATTACTAATAAACGTGTCAGTAACACATTATATATCTGAGTTTGATGGTAATCCGTCCATCGGTTCGAATAGCGATATCGATGACGAGCTATTCTTGCATACATAATGAGCCATGTGACCTTTGACATTGTGATCCCCAAATCTAATCAATTCATTAGTTTTGCAAGATACATTCATGACCCAAGTTTTGCAGAAATCCATTAATCGGTTCTTGAGATAACGCGATAACGGGAATGGGACGTTCAGACGGACGGAGGGCCAACCGAAAACATAATGCCTCGGGCTATTTCGTTGAAGACGCACAAATGGGACTCGCATACAAATCGAGCAATTAAAAAAGAATGCACGTTGTGGCTACATTCCAAACACACTTTCAAATTTACCATTTCAAAGGCTACTTCTACCACTGAATCAAAACTATTTTTGAAGGTAAAAGTGTGGATTTAATAAGAATTTCGCCGTTATGTATTCTATTTAAGTATAAATATAAATAATTAGCACGCGTGGTACAAAATTAAACCATGGATATATCAAAAATGTTAATATTTAGTTATTTTGTTATGCCTGGTTCATACTCACTTGCCTTTTCGTCGTTCAGGAGGTTGTCTGCCAGACGATGGTGATTAATTGCGATCAGGGCTTTCTTCAATTGTTCACGTTCTCCGGACCTTGAAGTCCTGTTCCTCCAATCACGGAGCATACTTAGTGTTCCCATGTATGTGACGTTTTGGTATTTTTCGTTCGTTTGTATGTAACGTTGTATTTCAGGAGGTCCAAAATCCAATTCCCTGCCCAGTTTGTTGATCTCAGCATTCTTGTAAATCTGCTCAGCTACTTTCTCGAGAATTTCGTCAAACCCCCGTTCCCTGAATTCCTCGGAAGATCTATATTTATATAGAGAAAATATGTTATGTTACTTTTGATATAATAATCTCACTTGACCGATTTTACAATGTATAGCACATCAAATAACTGGAATTGCAAGTGGATATATAAACAAATGTTTTCTTCTTGAATTGTTTTGTTTTCGTATGTCTTAAAATAATTTGTGTTATATAACGTATACATACTCTGATAAAATTTCCCGGATATTTCCGAACCAGAAGCACGGATCCTAATTCTTTTCATCTTTCTTGTCTCTCTCACTTTCTTATTAGATGCAATTGTACACATTTTCTAGTCAGATTAGCCTATACGACACATTTCCTTATGTGTAGCGCGGATGACAGGAGTTTAAAATAATTATCGACGAGTGTCAGAAGAATTTGTTCAAGTTCTTTCAAATAGTATTCTTCTATTCTTTTTTTCTCACTCCATTTAGTAACATCCCCAGAATAAATGTATCTATATAAATCTGTATATTAGTCAAAATGGACTTAGACGATGGCATTGCGAAATCGTTAAATATAAATATTGAAACGGAACAATAATGACAATTCTCGCTTATAACTGTTGATCTGTGCTTGCTTTCACTAGATAGTTATCTAAGAGCGATATCGGAATATTATTTTATAACATATATATCATCCCATTAATGATATTCCAATCAATAATGATTGGCGTTTATCGACATTTGCGCTTAGGAAACAATTCTTACTTAGCTTTAGAAGTATAGACTTCACCGCTGCCGGCTGCTGCTGCTGCGCCTTGAGGATGAATGTCGACTGATGTGGATGCCGACGGTCTCGGGGATGCGGGGTCTGTTTTTCCTTGTGATGTCTCGCTTTTTTCTGATTACAAGAGGGGAAAAATTATTAATATCGTAAACATATTTATTAATTTGATTCGTGTTATTGACTGTAATATCATGTTGCATTGTATGTTCAATCGCGATTTAATCGAACAAATAATCATGTTTTAATGAGTATTTCTTGTTATTATTATTTTGCCTTATCTGCTAACGGTTACAATTCATGTTGGTGATTTTAAGATTTAGTTTAAAAGATTTGTATTGATTAATGTAAGGAAAATTTCTTACATCTCCAATAAGCATCTTTCGCAAAATTGGAGAGGAAGGGAGATAGTAAATAATACAGATTAAACAAAGAGTACAAAGCAAAGGTGAGATTTTATCTTAAAGCTATCGAGTTCATTGTGTGTGCATGGTGAGTGTAAGGCTATAATTATTTTCATGTCCATTTTGTAAATGATTACACATTTTGTCTATGCTGTGCCTTCACCCACATAATTATCATGATTACGTAATAGTATAAACGGATAGTTGAGTTCTGTTGCAGAGGGCGCTACACAAAATATTTTTGTGTGAGATAATGAAAAACTGAGTGTCAAATTTGAAAGAACATTAAATTCAAATGACAAATTAATTTTTGTTTGATCAAAATCGGTTCAAAGACGGATGAAATATCCATTAATATAACCATGTCTAATATTTGTGTACCACCACAAATATGAGATAATTTGAAAAAGCCGTTGAAAAAGCGAAAAACGTCTTATACGTTTTATTCCAGCCAATGCCGATGTTGGCTTTTTGTCGGCTTTTTCCTGTTGGTTATAATACACACAACCAACCGGCCCATGTATTGTTATTAATTAATTAATTAAAGGTCACCGTATTTTTGGGAAGTGGAGCTGAATTGGTATGATCGTATATTGGCTAAATTTCACACATTTTGGGGTCTTAAATTACCTTCTTAGCAATGTTAGGTCCTAAAACGGCACTAGAAATGCCTTGGATAAGAATAAGAGCAATAACCATGCACTTTGAAGGCATTTGTGATCTGAAAACAGAACTCAACAATCCCTTTAACTTAAACAGATGGCTTTCTGAGCACATATTTGTATACATAAAATGAAAAATATAGATTTAACAAAAAAGTTCAAAACACACAGTAGGTATGTCTTTATCTTAAAAAGGAAATTGACAGGGTTTGTTAAGTTTAATGTCTACCCATGTAACTCACAATGTATGTCCATGTCAAAAGGAATTAGCACATCTGTATCAGAATCCGGAGCTTAGTTTAAAAAATTGTTTCAAATTTCTTGACTTAAATTACCCGTTGATAATAAATGTCAATTTCAGCTAGTTTAGATAGAAAAAACAAAGCGAGAAAAAGATAAGATTCCCGCTTCTATCTCATCAGTCAATGACGATGAACATTTGATTTATTGTGTATCAAGGAGGTAACCAAAGCAACCAAATATTATGAAGTTTCAACACCTTTGGTGATATATGTTAAAGTAGAATATAAACAGGTCGCTATATATGATGCATTGATTAATATCTACATGCCCTCAACCTTTCAAGACTTGTAAAATGTCGGTCACTGACAGATTGAATGAATGACAAACATTTATAGATGTACTGGTTGGTTTGATTCTAGTTCATGTTGTTTACCTTCTAAGAACATTGTAACAATGATCTGCTTTTTTGTGCTTTGTTTTAAGATGAAGTTTAATATCACTTCATTCACATCAGTGGTTCGGGTATCCACTGTGAACATCACTTTGTGCTCAGTCAGATGGCGAATCTCACTTTCCTGTAGAGTCTACAAAGAAAAAACAAACATTTGTGTGTGTATTTATCTTTAGACACATTGTACATTTGTGTAAATACGTACTATGACTGTATGCATCAGACTTAAGAATAGACTTTATAAATTGTACGTAACGAGTCAGACAAAAATGCTGCTGAACGGAATACAGTTGTATTCGAAGTATTGGAATGACCCACATGCTGACTCTTTATTTCAAACCTAGCTACCTTCAAAACAATGAATTGTTAAAGTTTTTAGATGTCTTTAAAGAAAAAGGCTGCAGGATCGCACGAAAAGGGTCCATATCGTCAATTGATATGTTAAACCATATTTTAACTATTCTGTCATATATTTAACACATTATGATACAAATAAAAACAAAAACAAAAACTAATTATACGAGTTGAGCAAAACATTGACGAATTTGGGTAGCATATACTGTCCACTGTATATTAGGTTTTAAGTTTACGAACTAACTTTGGTTAGCTAGAAGTGCCAAACAGGAGATAACCAACCATTAATTGCCCCAAACCCCGAATTGCTAAATTAGGGGTTACGCAGTCTGTGGTCAATCAATACATTGCTAAAATAGATTTTCCACACAAGTCATCATCCAATACTCTTCATTATTGAAATCATGTAGTCCTAATTGCAAATGAGGCATTTGCCCAAATACGATTTTGGGCAGTGATTGTTTGACTTTCCTTTTCTCAACTGATACTGAGCAATCCAAATGCATAACAACTTTAAACAGGTTGATTTAAACTGCTTATGTGAATGTTACCGTGACCTCTTCTTCCATTGGGGTGCTTTCTTTGCAAGTTACCCTCAATCCTCCAGAACGCCACTTAAGTAAGAATTGCTCTCCCTCGAGTGGAGCTACATATCCACGAAAGACCTTAAACAAAATAATATTAAGAAAAAGCAACAATGATTTAAAAGTGCGTTTCCACTCAAAGCATTATCACAAAACAAAGGATTCTATATAAGTCTAAAAGAGAGACAGGAAAACAAACGAAAGAACAAAAAGAAACATATAAAGACAACAAATTACATTGACACATGAACATAGCGAATTCAAAAGTGCTGAAGTTTAGAATTCAAAAGTCTAACTGAGGATTTACCGAAAATAAGAATCTGCAAACATTACTAGAAATATTTCAGCTTTAATAATGACAATTATTAACAAAAATGATGGTAGCAATGATAACAGTGTTGACCATTTTTTTCTCCAAACATCACTTTATTGAGCAAACTTGCACGACAATTAAAGGGGCCATGATATTGGCCAAGAATAACACAAATGTATTGGTCGATGCAGGGCATTATAAACCTGACAATTCTGGGTCTTATTTACCAAAGGTAAGCACATCGGTATTAATGTTTTTCTTTCCTCCAATTATCATTACCTTATCATTGTTACATCTGGGTGGAAAATAGCAATTGTGGATTAATGTCTTGCCAAAGGACCTCAGTCCCTGGATGTGACTCGAACCCCGACTCTTGGATTAAAAGTTAAGTAAATGGCCAACTATACCGCCATGACACCTTTATGCATGTAATCCATTTACTCTTGAATTTTGTGAAAGTTTACGGCCGTATGTAGGGTTATTATGAGGGAAATTAAGAAAATGATGATAAAGGGCAAAGAAGTATAAGATGAGGAAGGAAAGACGAAAAAATAACCAACCTTTTCTGTAATGTTTCCATTCCTCACATGGACAAACAACACGTGATTAGCATATCTCGGAGTTGACACTGGGATGTATGGTGTACAAATAACACGTTTTCCGATGAATACCCATTTGATTAAAGCTACGATCCAAATTTCAGAGAAGTGGTGCATGTAGACATCTAGGTCGTGGTGTCTTACAACACATCGTAGGCTTCCGTTGGTAGAAGGAATCGCTGTAAAACTTTCAGAAGCTAATCATGCAAAATATCAACCAATAAATCTAGTAAACATACGATTACCAAGACCGTAGCACAACTTTATATCAGAAAATGTGTTCTAGGACAATTACCCCCTGGGCAATTACCCCCCCCCCCCCCGAAAATCATCCCCGGAAAAATACCCCGAAGGACAATTTTCCCCCGGAAAATTACCCCCCGGAGAATTACCCCCCCCCCCCCGAGTACAACTACCCCCCGAGGACAATTACCCCCGAGGAAAACTACCCCCTAGGACAATTACCCCCCGAGGACAATTACTCCCCGAGGACAATTACACCCCAAGGATAACTACCCCCCCCCCCCCCACCTAGGACAACTACCCCTTGGACAATCAGGATTCAATAGCAAAAGTCGAGCCAATAAGATCCCCTGCATACAGTGGCGGATCCAGGGGGCCCGGGGGGCCCGGGGGCCCGCCCCCCCCCCCTGGAAAAAAAAAGGGAAAAAAAAGAAGGAAAAACAAAATGGAAAAAAGAAGGAAACAAAAAGAAGGAAAAAAAAAGAAAAAAAAAGAAGGAAATAAAAGGGGAAAGATATCAAAGGTATCAAAATATGCTCATTTGACTATAACTAAACGCCTAAAACCCCTAAGTTTCCGGGGCTCCACCCCTCGACCCCACAAGGGACCTTAAGGTGGACCCCTGCATGCTTGTCTGACCGTTATAAAATTCCTAAAACCCCTGAGCTTCAGGGGGCTCCGCCCCCTGTACCCCACGCCAATTTGTTTCCTGCCAGTGTCACAAATAAGGTATAATTATGCTCATCTGACGTAATTAAATGCCTAAAGCCCTACGCTTCCGGGGCTCTGCCCTCCCCCCCCCCCCCCCCCGAACCCAACCAATGGCCCTAAGGCGGGCCCCTGGATGTTCATCTGACCATAATCTATTGCCTAACGCCCCTGAGCCTTTGGGGGCTCCGCCTCCTTGACCCCAGGTCAATTCGTGACCTGCCAGTGTCACAAATAAGGTATAAAAATATGCTCATCTGACCGTAATGTGTTGCCCCACACCCCTGAGCTTCCGGGGACTCCGCCCCTGGACCTCACGCCAATTTGTGACCTGCCAGTGTCACAAATAACGTATAGCATTATGCTCATTTGACGATAAATTGATGTATTAACTTCTGAGGGCTCCGCCCCCTGGACCCAACACCAATTTGTGTCATGCCAGTGTCACAGATAAAGTATCAAAATATGCTCATCTGCATGACCGTTATTTATTGCCCAAAACCCCTGAGCTTCTTGGTGCTCCGCCCCCTGGACCCAACACCAATTTGTGTCCTGCCAGTGTCACACATAAAGTATTAAAATATGCTCATCTGTGAGTAATTTATTACCCAAAACCCCTGAGCTTCCGGAGGCTCCGCCCCTGGACCCCACGCCAATTTGTGACCTGCCAGTGTTACAAATAAGGTATAAAATATGCTCATCTGACGATAATTGTATGTATAAAACCCCTGAGCTTCTGGGGACTCCGCCCTCTGGACCCAACACTAATTTGTGTCCAGCCAGTTTCACAAATAAGGTATAACATCATGCTCATCTGACATTAATTTATTGCCCGAAACCCCTGAGCTTCCGGTGGCTCCGCCCCCTGGACCGAACACCAATTTGTGTCCTGCCAGTGTCACAAATAGATATAAAATTATGCTCATCTGACCGTTATTTATTGCCCAAAACCCCTGAGCTTCCGGGGGCTCCGCCCCCTGGCCCGAACACCAATTTGTGACCTGACAGTTGTCCTCGAGGGGGGGGGGGGGGGGAAGGAAAATTGTCCTCGGGGGGGGGTATTTTCCGGGGGGTAATATATACATATATTTTTTTGGGGGGGGGAGGGGAAGACTGCTAATATTGCATGTTTGTTACTGCGCAATTAACTTCATTGATCATATATATTACCTAATTTAATGTTTGGCAATGTGAATGGGACAGAGAGAGAGAGAGATTGAGAAAGAGAATACTTTACCACTCTTGCGATAATAAGTGACGACTTCCGCAGCCTCTGGCTTTGTGAATATACCACAATGGGGCATCGTTATCCGAACCGGATTGTCAAAGGTTGCATTTGAGGGCGACATTCTCAGACCGAAGGTAATGATTGCTTCTGTTTCCTTCAACACCAACTCAGGTGGAATGTCATGGATTGGTTCGACAGTGATGTCATTCGTTCTATAAGCTTCATTGGGTGGAATTCTTACTTCAATACCATGCTTCTCAAGCCGAGTCATGCCGGCATCATCAATCGAATCCTCTCTGCTTTCAAGATTTTGAACCTGAGTTTCATCCTGACTGGCGCTCGGTTGAGGAAAATGGTGAACGGACTCTATCATCTGTCCCTCGTCATCTGTTAATGAGTGTGAATGTAATAATGCTACTGATAATAATTACTGGATTTCTATAGCGCCTTTCCAGAGGATACAAGGCCCTGTCCCTCAGTTTAAGAAAGACAAGTTAAATACTATTTTTGTGTAATGCAGGGAGTTTTTTAAATATGAGTCAACTGACTAAAAGGATTTGAAACAGCATTTTGGGGGAATTTGGGAATGGGAAGGGAAGAAGCTGATGTACATCGAAATGAATATGATGTTTGCTATTGCTGAAAGAGTGAGTATATGTATGGAGTATGGTTTCACACAAAAAATATAAAAAGTTTAAAAGTTTGAACAAGCATCCAGTATTCCATTCTTTAAGTCACTGAAAGCAATTGCAGTCAGTGTAACAATAAGGGTAGCATGGGGCCATTATTTTATGCTTTTGATAGATTTGCCAATTAAGTTCGCTCATTCTGTAGACGTTGGAGGCTAGCTTCCAGATACCTCCAACCCCATTGTGACATTTATCTCTTTCCAAAAAAGTTGCCGGTTTAGGGTACCAAAAAAAATCGGAATCATGGTCAGACATTCTCATTTTTTTTCAATCAAACACAACACACATATTCCTGATGGTAGGTGAAAGGTGGAATAACAATGTGCCTGAGAAATGACTTTGATTATAAACAGAAAGATAAAACCTACTAATCATTCTACATTACATTTATTTTCAATAATATTGTTCCTAAATGTTGTTATAAAAGGGAAATATGAAGGAATTCTTTAGAAAAATCCTACATCCAAATATTTTCGAAAACTATATAATTACTTTTCAAAGAGTAATTGTACAATAAAAGTAGTCACTAATATAATATATAAAAAGCATAAACATTCCTCTTTTCTCGTTTTTTATTTGTACTTTGGGTTATGGAGATTTTGAAACAAATGCCATTTGATTAATATTGTAAACATGGTCGAATACTAACGTTACTTTGAACATGGAAGATGTTTCATTTCTTCACTTGCCAATAATAAAATACATGTACATGTACTAATACAAACAATATAAAGGGGATACCTACCTTCATCTTCATGTTGCTCTTCGAAACTCAGAGCTCTAAGAGAAAGACACAAATTTATGGTAAAACTTGAGCAATATGCAGGTGATTATTTGCACTCACTCCACCCGACCTTTCGTAATTAAGGAGCCATTAACCGTAACAGATAATGGGCTTTAATCATACATTTTGGTTGGAATGGTTTGAAAAAGCTTATAATAATCCGGGGTTACAGTTCGCACTGATAAAAGAAGTGTTATTGACCCTCTTCATGACAATTTGGGCATTTTGACAACTTGTTTTGGCCCAAAGTGACCATTTTGGTCACGTTTGGTCAGGGTCAGGGTTATTTTCATATCATCAGTAAAGGAAGTTGTATGTAGTTGTACTGTTTAAAAATGTGCCCTGATGGTAGGAAAAGTGGTCAATTGACTTCCATCAGCACAGGCAAACTGAGCTGCAGTTGAGTCACTCGACTCGACCAATATGACTTTCCAACATTACGTCGTCTGGTCTAATAATTTTGTTTTATCTGTCGTGTAATAAGCTAAGACAAATTGATCATAGCTATCAAAGGTAAATTTCTCAAACTACACATGTTCTACAAATGTTAATTTTGTTTATTAAATACAAGCCCTGGTTTTACAACATACCATCCATTTACTCTGCCTGAATTTCTTTTCTTTCTGTGTTGACCTAAGTAATTTTAAAGTCAATTATTTTAATTGTTCTGATGTTGCTGATATCAGCACACGTTTTCATACACTTTTTCGACGTCCAAACTTACCTGTGACCAGTTGATTATAACTGAACTAAAAAGGTCTGAAAGTGGACAACAGTTGATTTTTTTTTTTTTTTTTTTTTTTTTTGGAGGGGGAGGGTCAATTAGATTACTTTTCGACCATCAGGAAACATATTCTAACCTGGCTCGAGATGTATAAACCTCACCAGCTGCTGCTGATGCATCTTGAGGAGCAATGTCGACTGATGTGGATGCCGCCGGTTTCGGAGATTCGGTTATTCCTGATTGTAAGAGTGGGAAATTATGTAAACTTTGTAATTAGGTTCATGTTATTGTTTGTATAATTATTGTTCATTAGACATTTAATTACACATATAATTATATATCAGTGACTGAGATTGAGTGTTGTCACCAGCTCAACCAACAGTATAAGGTAGTAATTTGTTACTCGCGTTCACGAGATGAGTTTAATTTTTTAAATTGTATATTGATCAATGTAACCAAAATCCGCACATTTCATTCAGGCTTATATGTTAAATGGGGGGGGGGGGTTGACCCTTTCGATTATCTATAAGACATTGAAGGACTCTGCACACCAAACACGACACACTACAAAACGACCCGACAACACAACAATATTTTTACAAAATCGCTCTAACGCGAATCGTATGACACTGGTCCCGTGCTTACTGACCGTATAGGAAGTATGACACAACATCAATTTAAAATGCCTACGATGTTTGTATCAATTCCGAAAAATCTATGAAACGACATTTTGGCTATCAATCATTTTAGCGCGGAGGATTTCCGATGACGTCATATTTATCTACGCTTGGTTACAGATTGTCAGCAGCTTTTCTTCCCTCACCCTCAAATCTCTATAGGATTTAATGTGTATTTGTGTTATTATGCTGCCTTAAAATTACCATACGGAGCCTAGCCACACTATCTAGTACACGGCGTCTCATCGAGTCCTAGATCCTGCCAAAGACTTGCGGTCTGATAGTCCCCGACTTTGGTTTAAAAGTTGCTGCATGTTTCTTTACGAGATTACGGTAAGTGAGAACAGTATAATAACTTTATAACTAGAGGCCTAGAAAAATATTCTAAGTTAGATAAGGGTCTAAATCTTAACAAAGAGAAAGTTAGATTATACGTGTGACGTGCCAGTACTACTACTACTACTAATTCTACTACTACATAGACATCATTATCATCAAGCTAGGCCCATGCCTATACGGGAGTGTAGGATATCATGTTTAGCCTATATTATATACCTCACTTAAGAAATCCAGCCATCTGATTGGTCGAAATTGCATTCATAAACTTTAACTATTCCTGTAAAATTCCCGGTGAAATTCCAAATCCATGTAATAGTTCTAAAATAATAGTTCTAAAATCCCGGCAAAATTCCAGTTACCATATCGTTACCGGGAAAATAGTTCAGTCTTGGTGAAATACCCATAGGTTCACATGTTAAAAACTGATATGAGCGATCGAGGATACCGTACGTGTGCAAAGAATTGGTCGATATTTTTAATACAGCACAGCACAGAGCAGACGACCGTACGTACGGCATTCTCGGGCAAAAATGGCTGAAGAAACTCTCCCAAGATTTTAACTTCTTGATGATGATCAAATGCAAGACTTGCTGACAGCAAGAACATCAAAAGGGTACGTCAAATTCTCCATAATATATTGAAACTAGATCTAGTAGTAGTGCTAAAATCCTTCCCATAGACTCTCATGAGTGCGCAATGCATAGGGATGTGTGCAATCTCTATGATAGAGATTGCACACATTCCTATGATAGAGATTGCACACATCCCTATGCATTGCGCACTCATGAGATTCAAACTAATATTGCTCGTGATCCTGAAGGTGATACTCAATAAGTGAGGTGTCATATGAAAGAGCAGGTTTTTCTCCATATTCCCCACAGGGCCGGCCCACCCCCAAAATTGTAAAACTATCTTTTTACTTAGACTAAAATCTAGATCTAGTCTACTCTCAAGATACACTCAGTCATACTCATAGTCATAAAAAACAACCGTGCAGATAAACTAGAGAAATGCCAAGGTGGTGCCATATGTTGACTCTTTTTTGTTGGCATATAAAAGTATTAATGACTGCTTTAATATTCGAGAAATAGTTGTTTTTATACGCTCAAGGGAAGGTTACAATTGTGCTATTGCCCGAGGCGTTCTCAAAGCAGTCATTAATACTATACTATACTATACTATAGGTCTACCGGTCATATCAATCACTTGGTACATTAGTTTATAAAACAGTGCATGCGTGGATGTCAGACTATGCTATTTTACAAAGTGTTTTTCTGACCAAAATGAATCCAAGCAGTGTTTAAATTAATTGATGCTGGTAGCAGTTACTAGAATGTAGAGACACTGTCACTTGTACAGGTAAACGTTCCAAGACTGGATGACCCGTTTGTTAAAAAAAGACATATACCTACATGTAGATAGTCAGTCTACGGCTGGCGCCTGCCTGGGAGATGACTTTAACAAGACAGATTGAATTAGATCTAACGACTTGAGTAACGTATAGACCTATATCTTTGTAGATAAACGTTTATACTTACGTTGCCAGGTCCAATTAGTCACAGGTTAGTTTAGAAAGTTAGTTAGACTCTGGATTTATCAGTTTGCTCTTTACCTGTAATCTATATATTCATGCAACTTAGCCTTAGGACGATTGAAAACAAAGGTGTTACTCGTTCTTAATTATCTTCTAGACTATATTGGTACAGATAGCTAGTCGATGGTCATACTCATAGTCTAGACATACTCTAACTGTTAGAAACTGGACTTGTTAATTCTCATTAAATCACTGTTTAACTGGAATAGAAGTTCAGAGTTTGTTAAAGACTCAATAAAGAAGATCTATAAAGATTGTTTATAGATCTAGAGCTCGACCCTGGCCTCTGTGAAATGTAAACTAGATCTCTATCAACTTAGAGTCTTTTCTAACATACATAAATTTGTTTGTTCGGGTAGATCTCAGACACTTTAAATGAATTCCATCACAATATTCTCATCATCAAACACGACATCGTCATGTCGTGTAGCCTCTATAGGTGTGAACGGTTTGTTGTGGTTGCCATCTAGCATGTCGTATCACCATGTTGTTTTGTCGCATGGCGTGTTTGGAAGGGATAAAGAGTGGTAGTTTTCAGAGTTAAAAATGTTGTTATATTGCCAATTCTGGGTCATTTTGCTTCGTTCGAACTTCAATTTTAGTCCTCATTTAAATTATGAGTGACTTTTGGACATGGAAACATCTCAAAGGTATAGTTGAGTTCTGTTGCAGAGGGCGCTACACAAAATAATTTTGTTGTGACTGGAGATAATGAAAAACTGAGTGTCAAATTTGAAAGAACATACAGTTTAAATGACATAATCATCTTTGTTTGACCAAAATCGGCTCAGAGACGTCTGAAATATCCATAAATGTAACGATTTCTAATACTTGTGTACCTCTACAATTATTATATAATTTGAACCAGCAGTTGAAAGCCGTTGGAAAAACAAAATAGCGCCTTTTAAGTTGCCTATGATGGCTTTTTCCTGTTGGTTATATTACGCACAACCAGCCGGCCCATGTATTGTTATAATCAATTAATTAATTAATTAACGGTCACTGTAATTTTTTGAAAGTGGAGCTGTTATGATCGTATTGGCTAAATTTGACACATTTGGGGGTCTAAAATTACCTTCATATCAATTTTAGAACCTAAAAGGACACTAGAAATGGCATGGATAAGAATAAGAGCAATAACCATGTACTTTGATTTGTATTGGTCCCCAATACAAATCGTCCATACTGTATTTCATGTTCAGTTTATCTAATGTTAATTTCATTTATATCAATTATGTCTAATTTAATATATATAAATTATTAATGGCCTTTAGTACACCTAGATCGACACCACTTTAGAATAAGAACAGCTAGCTCCTTCCTTAAATGCTTTACCTTGGAAATGTGTGTTGAATTTGATCATCTGTGTAGTGGTTTGAACCAAGCTAAGCGTCACTAATGTCTCATCACTCCTCTCGGTTAGATTGAGTGGAAAGTACTTTATCTCTTTCGTTTTCGAACTCAAATCGCTGTGCTGAATGGCCTGACGAGACTGCCAGATAATAACAAATGATCATGCATGATTTAATGAAATATGCACTAAAACGTGCATGATGAAAATAAAAACAAAATATAAGATTTTCCGTCTTTTCAAACATTTTTTTCCAATCAAGTCCATAATTGTGCATGTAATTTCGTCAAAGTCAATTAAATATCGTCACCCCCGGCCGCCAACCTGCAGTTGCATGAATTTATTTCGTTATGTACACAGTAAAAACGCTGTTTAAAAAAGTGATGTTCCCTTACAGTTGTACACTATCTTAAACAACAGTTGAACAAATTGTAAACAATGTTGCTCGAAACGAAAGTAATTTTGTTAAACATTCGTTGTTTAAAATTTAATGACTGCTATATTTACTATACGAGAGCTTTTAGACAGTGTTGTTTACATATGACGTCATGTGTCTCGTGCCAGTAAAGTGCGCGCTGGCTAAAAGCTTTATTTCACATTGTTATGTTTAGAAACAGGTTCCTTGAAACTAACATGCAATTGAAATTAACATGCCACTTAGAAATGCAGTGCTGCTGTTCAGGCACAGCTCATTGTTATTCATATTAGATGCATACACACAATGCAAGTATATGCAAGGGTCTTCTGTTGACTACACAGATTGATACATATGTAAAAGCACATGGACATTGAGTCTGGATTAAACTACCAAAGGAACCACACGTGTTTCTGCAGGCTCCATATTGTTTGTCTCTATACTTACATTTATTTAGCTTAATAGTTTTTACTTTCCAACCCACAACACAACACACATCATGGCCGACCAAGCTACCGACGCGCTTCTAAGTGACTGGGGATTCAATGTCTTAATTGAAATCACTTTTCTATTAACCAATTTGAAGTTTTTAACTTATAGCGTAAGTTCACAGTTACAATTTTCAGTATCTGTACGCAAATGTCAGAATAAAGGTAGACTTAAAATCGTCGCGTCATGCAGTGCGGCTCTGATCGCGCACTCGTTTATAACGTGTGCTAAATTCCTTGCCATATAGATTGCATGTATCCCTATATATGCAGTTTATACGTGCGTGCATGCGCGCTCATGCAAAATGGGCACTGTTTTGGCGCTAATTCATGAATTGCAGAATTACCCTACCATATTGTAGTCTTGTAGTCTTCATATACCTATATAGAGACCCAGAAGTAGTGGTGCACTTATTCAGAGTATCAAACCCAAATTATACCCCATTATACAACCCTTTTGTTGTAAACAACCCCCACTGAACAACAGCTCCTTTTTAAACAACTTTCTTTAAACAACCCAGTTAGTGTAAACAACCCCCACTGAACAACAGCTCCTTTTTAAACAACTTTCTTTAAACAACCCAGTTGGTGTAAACAATCCCCACTGAACAACAGCTCCTTTTTAAACAACTTTCTTTAAACAACCCAGTTGGTGTAAACAACCCCCACTGAACAACAGCTCCTTTTTAAACAACTTTCTTTAAACAACCCAGTTGGTGTAAACAATCCCCACTGAACAACAGCTCCTTTTTAAACAACTTTCTTTAAACAACCCAGTTGGTGTAAACAATCCCCACTGAACAACAGCTCCTTTTTAAACAACCGTCTTTAAACAACACCAGTTGTTTAAATTGTGATTTTAAACAAGTTGTTCAAAATGTTGATCAACTAAGTGTTTAAACTTTAAACAACTCGAGTTGCTTAACATTTTAAACAACTCTTAGATCAGGTCACCCGTTAATCAAGAGTTGTTTAAACTTTTAAACAACTTGTTCACAAAAATTTTAACTGTGTACGTGTAATTCCATAAACAAATCTTCGTAAAGTGTGTTGAGTTCTCTGTCACTTTGTTTTTAAATATTCTCCTTTTGATCCACCTTTGATCATGATCTTTCCCTGCTTTCAAAATACGAGAACGCAATAGTACACATTTAATTCATTTTACCAATGACATGTATGAATGAATTCGATCATCATATTCTGTAGCAATCCGTCAGGGGAAACACTTTCATATGTAATTTGCTGAAAATGAATGCAAAGGCGTTGAAATCGATAACAATCGTCCAAATTGAATGACAAATTACTTATTAGTTTTAACATTAGAACGTTCTCAGATTCGGAAAAAAGTTCTAAAATGGACAGGAAATCCTTAAATATAATAATATATTGTACATAAAGAACATCAAATGTGTCAATTGCAGCTGTACTATCAGTCTCCTCGTTCAATTTAAATTGTATCGCCACACGAAGAAAATGTAGTACATTAAAAGTGACGCATGTGTTATAACCATGATATAAGAAGCATTTTTACCATATACTAGTTTTTTATTCGGGTATATATGGTGTCAAAGACCAGTTGGTATTGATACATAATTTTAAAAATTCAAATGTTTGTTAGTAAAGCCACACTCTTCTACGTGTGGCTACTTGCTCCCTCTATGTAGAAAACAATGCCTAATCGGTGACCATTGGTCCCCCATGATCCTCTTTTTCTTATGTTAATTTAAAGCTGAGTTGATGAGATAGCCACCTGCCAGTGACCACCCTGGGCGGTCTAATCCCTCCTAGCCAAACAAGTACAGACGGCCTTTAAGATTTGAATGAAGCAAAACGAATTGGTTTTATGGACTATTAAACATAAATTTGAATTGTTCTCTTTCCAGCTGGCCCTTGTTTCAATTTATTTTAACTAAGTATGGCAATACCTAGACCAGTCGTCAAAACACACTTACATCTGTCTCGGGACTCGTCTCACCAAGCTGGCAAGAGACTGTTAGGGTGCTCCGCCGAAACACAACATAATCGTCCTCGTCCTTGACTGGATGTGAGAAACTGCTTCCCGTTAATGCATGGGCATCATTCTAGAAAATCATGTATCCAAAAAGAGTTTTGATAAAGTTATCTGTAAATTATCAAGTAGATAGAACTCATTTTCACATTTGTATCACATGTCTTCTCTCGGGTTTATATCATTTCAACTACAGTCCATCCCGCGCAGGAATCGTTCTAAAAGATAGTATGAGATTCCAGGTGTCCAGGATTATATTTAGATCAGTTAAAATATGCTTAAGCTGTCAGAAAAGTAGGAAAACCAAGATGGCGTCTGAAATGGCCAACCGTTGAGAGATACAGCTAGAACAGTATAGAGCTTGCTTATCACTGTAGATATGTCACAGATAAGTCTAATAGTATATTCAGGCTTCAGGATATTCATTATTTTGTTCAATTGATATTATCAAAGTAGAAAAGTTACAGGGTATTGTCCGAAATGCAAGATAGCAGTCAAATTGTTTATTAGACCAAGCCCAATAAAAATGTACGAACATGAAGAAAGAAAAAAGAGAAAAAAAGAGAAAAATCTAAACAAAGGGAAGGTAAAATTTTGTTTTTAACATAGAAATATGTGTGGTTACAGAAAAGAATTTGCCTCACCCCTTACATTCAGACAAGGCTCGAAGAATGCTAATTTGAGACAGAAAGATTTATTGGAGAATGACACTTACCAACCATCGACCCCAGTGTGACTGCCTGAATTGATCAAGCTTAAATACATCAATAAAGGCTTTTAAAAAAGTTGTTGTATTGCCCTTTACGACCGACCCCAGAATCTTAAAATATACAGTCGGCTTGTTATCATCTTTTTTTTAACCGCTTTTTAGAGAAAAAAACGTTTTATGAATTAAAACAAGGATTAAAGCATTCAAAACTGAAGAAAACAAATCAGCCCAAAGAAGGAAGATTTGTTTTATTTGTTAAAGTCGACCGACCGACCGAAGTAATGGCACCTAAAGGGTAATACAGCATCTTTTTTAAAGGCTTAATGATGCTTCACATTTACATTTACCCAGTTTTTGTCATGAAGCATCTTGACGAAACAGACTTCCAGAACAGGTTGTCTATTGTAAGGCAAGACTCTAGGTAGAAACGACATGCATGACAGTAATATGCCCTTCAGAAATAGTAAGTCCCAAATTAAGGCAAAGTACCCTCCAGAAAAACGGCTGATTGAGACCTCTAGCCACCGTTCTTGTACTGAACAAATAATGTCAGACGAATGAGGAAGTCGTTTAGGTGTACCTTCGAAATAAAACAAACAAATTCATTTCAATGAAGAAATGACGGGGAAAGGACTTAAATATCAGGGACTTTTCTTAGCTAAGTAAAGTTAAAGGTATATACCAGTTCTGGTCATGCGATTGCATTGTGAAAGAAACATTGTGGAATCGATCAGAAAAGGTTGATCATCTAGCATATAAGTATTTGTGTGTACTGCAAGGTTCTGGAATCATCAAAATGATAAGAAATTTGGCCCAGTCTTTGTAAAGTTACAAGCACTGTGCACAGAAAGATGTGAATGGGACTACACTATATCTATCCAGTCCGGATAGATATAATAATTTACCAAATATATCAATTAGTAGGCGGTTTGCCGGCAAAATTTGTTCCATCACATATTAGTCAAAACATATTCTTTCACATGATTGGTAATAAGAGCTTCCATTTCATTTTTCGAGAGGGGGACGTTTCCAAAACTGGCCTTTACCTTTTATCCTTATTACACATCGTGTTTTGAGAACTGGAATACAATTGGAATGTTAAAGTTACAACAACAAAAGCAAACACAAAAACGAGATTAATTCCAATTGTTTAAACATATTTGTGGCTTACATCTAGTAAATTAGATCGACTGATCGATCCATACTTAAAAATAATTCGGAACCGATTTTGAAGCCAGCGGGATTTGAACATTAAACATTTTTTTCCAATACAGATCCTATTTACTGTGTGTGAGCCACAAATAGGTTTAAGCAAGTGAAATTTCTCCCAGAACAATTAAATTGTGATATTGATATATTCAATTTGATTCAATAAACATTATTTCCTTCACAAATTCAAAATGAACATTCCAAAACATATTTTTTCTTGTAATAATTTTTCTGTCGAGTAACATAACAATCCCCCACATACTTATATAAAGGCTAGGCCTCAATCTTTTAATGGAGGAAATTGGAATTCTATTTTCTGATCACCTTGTTTACTTTACCTTTAAACCAAGATTAGCCACTGTTAAATTTTCTGTGACAATTCATCTATAAATAATGTATTGCATTTAAATTAGAAAAAATGTCGGCTAAGTCCCCCCAAAACCACAGAAACTGTTTAAAAAATATCCAACAGATTGGGGATGTAAACATCATAATAAATGGATCACGGCATATACGTGTACACGTATTCACAATTTATAATGCATGCTAATTAATGTTAGGCTTCATTCAATTAATGGACATCCTAACATAATTCTATGTTTTGGCAACATCGCCATTCCTTGGGCCGTGTTTTGTAACGTTTGTGTTATTCCACTATTACATTTGTTATTTATTGTCAAACTTAGTAAATATGAGGTCACGAAATGATATCCAAGTTAATCGTTTCGGAGGACCATAGTTTCTTGTCTAATGAGTTCCCAACTGGTATTGTAGATATTTTCGGTGAACTTGCTATGTTTTTTTTTTAGCGTGGACGTATCCGATATCGCAATCTGAAAATTGTAGAATGGGCATTTATCTTCTGTACTAAAAGTTATAACAATGTTTATCAAAGTCTGCCAGTGTCGGGGTTTGGGGAGTTATGTATCCCTACATTAATCATGTTAAATGATGTACAGTCTGTAGTGCCAATGATGACCTCCATTTGCAGAGATGAGTGCCCCCATCTCCAACCAAAACAAAACAGAAAATCGAGAAAACAAGCTCTTAAAATACAAAATAAGCCAAACTCATTCCATAATCATTTTGCCTCATTAGGTATCATGTTTTAGAGTAATGTCAATGGGAAGTAACTCCAGTAGATTATGTGCCACCTCACACCAAAAAATACTTAAGAGACAACAACACATAATTTGCTTTAAAATGTTTATACATACGGAAAAGCTGAAAACTTGATTTCGATACCTGACTGGTTCCAGGAATACAGTACGGACTGTATTTTATTTGGAGCAGTGACTATTGCACAGTGAGGTATTATCAGCTTTGCCGGTTTGTTAAAGCGTAACCCAGACGGGTAACACTGGAACCCATGGCTAACAAGAACCTCGTCGTCTTTCAGTGTGAGGCCATTTGGAATCTTGGTCAGTACCCCAAGACTGATTTTCTGATCTTCTTCAAGGGCACCGGGTGGAATGTGGAGTGTAAACCCATGGGATTCTGAAGACAGCTCTCCTCCAAGGGCTCCAAAAATGCCATTTGCAGAGCTTCCATCTGAAAAAAGCAAATGTATGTATTAACAGAATATGTTACATTATATGTATCATACAGTGCGTCCCAGAAAAAAGAAACCAAGAATTATCAAAATTTATTATAACTTTATCACAATTATGATTAACAAATGACACATATTTGTAAAGCTTAGGTCCTCTTTCATTAGATGCAACTCATATAATGCAAATTTGACGCATGGTTGATTAAAAAAATTTGAAGAAAGGGTACCAAAAAGTTGTTTGGCGAACGGTATCTGAATTCCAAAGAGAATATCACATTTTCCAAAAATGTTCATTTTCTGACCTTTCATATGTCACCTCAATTAGGAAAAAACCAGGAATAACAAAGTTCAGTTTGTTTAAAGTAATGCTTGCATATCCATAATTTTAGTAAACAAATTCGTTTTTCCTGGCTGCCTGCCGTAGCAACAAACAACAAACTCCGTTTTGTTGACGATCAGCCATGTATGAAGTCTTTCGTCTTCTCTGTTGTTAGGGCAGACAGCCAGTGGAATGGATTCGTTTAATTGTTGAAGGTTGATGAACAAATTGCGTAATTTTTGTCTGAAATGTTACTTTTTATATTCCTTCTAATGTATTAACCCTCTAACATGCAAAAAATCCATAACAAAATGCTCAAACCACACAGATATTTATTGTTTTCTTGGAAGGCGTCACTGTGCAACACCATCTAACAGTGATTAACAGTAAATTCTGCTAACCATTTTTGAACTTTCCCAACCGTTTGTCCATGAAAAAAAGACATAAAACAGGCTTTGAAAAATCTTTCACCATTAAAATGTCTGGAATGCTTTATAGAGCCAATTAATTTCCTTGTGACTATTTACATTCACCTAAAATGTAATTAAGTTGTAATAATGTAGTTAGGAGATTTAGGGAATCGATCAGATCAGTTTTTCCCATTTTGTAAATTAATAATGGTCCGTTTTCACTCAAGTTTTCAGATTATCTTTAATTGTACATCTAGCACTGAAGTCACTACCGTAGCACCACTTTCTCTCATCTTAACAATGTTACCAAGTCCCTTTAAACGTGGTTTAGTCCTGGTAGTCCTTCAGATTTGTGTGGCCTTAAATTACCCTCCTTTCGATTTCATTTGAGGATTCTACAGACCACACTCTGTGATATTCCAAGGAGATCATCAATATAGGCTTTATTTAGCGTAATGCCAGTGGCGGCGGACAAGGCATAGTCTATGGAACTTACGCGTCCAATTTGGTTGAAAATGATATACTTCCAATGCTGATAACATGGACTCATCGAGTACAGTTTCTTCAAAGGAAATTGTATTGCCTTTATTAGCACCAAACAAAGGGATAGCTTATGCATTTGAATGCTATGCATAAATGCATTTAACCTCTGAGATTTGGACTCATTTAATCATTACACCTTGTCAAAGGTGATTACTGACATCTTTCAATAGAAATAAACAGAGGAATCTGTTTGAAACAAAATTATTTCAAGTTCATGGGAAATAGTGTAGTTGGATTTTTTAAACAGTACGTGATTTTAAAAATAAAAATAGATATTTATGTTATGAGGCAATTAGGCATTCAAAAAGTCCTTTATTTTCTCCGTACTTACTGGTATGGACTATTTATTTAAAGGTCCCCTCTAATCAAAACGGGCTTAAAATTGGAAAAAGAGACATACAGAACAAAATTTGACGGAGATTCCGAATATGACAATGATTTTTCTTAGAAATCATCAATAATTCTGGAATCTAGCTTTAAAAATGACGATGATGATGGGGTGCGGACGCACGCGCGTGCCTGAAGTAAGCGACTTTACTCTCAGATCCTCATCAAGTTCATGCAAGTAATTCACATTATTAATTGATGATGATCATCCCAATCCTTTATTGGTGACCTGATAGTATCGGCAGATTCCAGCCATAAAATTGATAATACAAAACTAAGCCACAAGCGCAAAGGCACGAAAGCCCAAAAACAATTGATAACAATAGACACCGTAGACTCTTTGCCCCATTCGTTTGATAGTTTGTGTTCTAGACGAAACTGACGCCAGGCTGACAAGAACACACACGCAAAATAATGAAAGGACTGTGGTATGAGTCTAAGCAAAAATCATCTGCTTGCGACTTTTCGGCGAAAAGTAGGGTGATTTAGGCATTAAAATGTCTTTAAAAAGGCAAAGTATGATATTAATTGAAGAAAAAAAAGAGACATTGATCCAAAAAATAATAGCACTTGATAATTCCAGAACTTTTCTGATCATTTCGTCATTCCTAGTTATGAATTACAATGAGATTGTAAGATCCTTAGTTGAATATTGCTCCGGTCGTCTCATTTTCGCTCGCTGAACAATTGCCAGCACAAACGTAGCTACTTCGACAGAACTACCAAACTAGAATATTTCACTGTGGGTGAACCGGGTGTGCGGAAATGGTGTGTTGGGGAGGGGGGTGTGAGAGTGTGCGTGTGTGGTAATTGTATGTGTGTCAACAATTAAATTCTAATAATGACAGATGGCTAATCATAGATCTACAATGACGAGTAAATTGTCAATTTACATCACAGTCCACGGATGAATGTGCTTTGAACGTATAGCAGACGGCAATCGGCGGATCAGACGACAATTGATAGTGATTTTATATGTGAGATTGCTTTGCTAAATATGAAATACAAGAACTTTTCCATATTTCTAAACTACCATTGATATCTGATAATTAAACAGTTAATAAAATAAACCTACTAAACTACATAATACAATGAAATACTTGACTTAAAGTAGGGGAGTTTGATGTGGTGCACAATTGCACCCCTCTGTAAATAATCGAATAGTCCATGGCGATCATGAATATTCATGTTTTTGCTTACCTCGGCAAAATGCTTGCCTATACTAAATGGAAAAATTACGGTGGGGTTTGGCTGAAATGAACATAATGAATCATTCAGAACTTATCTATGATAATTCATGCTTGTTTTCCTTTGTGTGCTTGACCTATAACCTTACAATCGGGTGGCAAATTGCGTCCAAAGTTCGCCTTGTTTCACATGTGTTATTTAGGCAATGGCGAGCTAGCGACCTATTTTGACCAAATTACGGTAGGTGAACTTTCAAAAGTCAATGGGACATAAGGGTTCCAATGAAAGAGCTAGTGTCAACGTACGTCGGGGTGGATGTGCTTTTCGTTTGAACAAAAAATGAACTTTTAACAATTTTGGGGGGTGAAAGTCCATAGGCTAACATGTTAGGCTGCTGGACTCTGACGATATGGGGCGTTGTCCAATGAGACTATTCGAAGCCATATGTATGACAAATACAAGGACATTCTCGCAATGACGTCAAATGCGTCACCAAGCCATGTGACCGTATTTACCTTTTTTCGAGGGGTTAAGCAAGCGTGAGATCTCTGAAAAATGGATGGTTATTATCAGTTATAAAGATCTTTGGTTAAAATTTGATCATGCGTTTTCAAGAAGAAGATGAAAATGTAAAAGGTTTACGGAGGGCAAACAGGGACGGACGGCCATATCTCACCTCGATCCTCCGGCTCAGGTGAGTTAAAAATATAATGATTATGCTAGTATTTGGGTAAAAAAAAAAGGTCAAGAAGGACCAACAGAAATGAAGATTTTTTTTTTTAAAGGTTTGACAAAACCTCTGTGATTCATGGCCTTTCACAATTTTACTTCTGACATTTTTACCTCTGACGTATTACCTCCGTATTAGCCAGCCTTATACATGTTTCACGCGCGCGCCGTGGTACACCAGAAGAATGCAAGTCTTGGAAGCTGCTCAAAATTACATCAAGGTATTCTGTGTCTCAACATTTTTCAAATTTCATAAAAGAGAGATAAAAAACTGTTTTCCAACAAGTAATATGTTTCCTTTGTTAGCCTTATCTCTTCCATCCCATTTCCATGATGTGTTGCAGTCTTAAGCGTGTGAAAGACTTTCAAAATTTCCATTTCTTGCACATCCATTTTTTAAAGGCATCGTTTAACAATGTTAGTGCCTGTGATATGCAGTAATATTGAAGCCTTTAACACAAAATTCGCTTCAAAATGATCAAGAAGTGCCTCACAAAAAAGGCAAATTAACCCGATCTGAACTTGATATGAACTGACTATGGATGGGGTAAAGAGGAGATGGACGTATTGAGGACAGTTTATGAATGAGCTAGGATCGTATTATAGACATTATTTACACATTCTACCCCGACCATAACCCGTTCTACGATTTTCTAGGACGGTTCCAGAACTTAGTTATATGTAGTTTGGTGTCATGGGGCTTAAACTACTGCTAATTGATGCTCGACCGCGTCACGTTGTAACACGTCCCTATTAGGATCAAAGTACGGCACTTCCGTTCATAGTACGGCAATCAGTCCATTCGTAGTACGTCTCGTTTTAAGTACTCCACCTAATTGCAGGACGAGGACAATGTTAAATAGGATATAAGTTCTAGAGCACCCTCCTATCCTAGTCAGTCCGAGCCCGTCTGTGAAGTTCTTAACCCTTACTGTACTGGGGGGGGGGGCTGGGAGGCCCCCCCCCCCTCGACATTTTCAGAGATTGCGCCGCAACCGCTTGGAATTTTGAATTGTCGTTTCAAGACTTTTTTCCCTCAAGTCTTACGCACATTTTGATACCATTTTCGTCGAAATTGGATATACCTGTAAGGCGTTACATAACAATTAGTATGCGCATGTCATCCCAAAAAATAACAATAAATAAAAATCGCATCAAAATTTGCATAAATTATCATTATTAATTACATTAAAATAACTTTTTTGTGTTAGAAAAGAAGTTTCATATGAATATTGAGTTTCAACATTAAAAAAGTGGAGTTTGACACATTTTCTGTAAAATGCATAAAATTAGCATTTTGCATAATTAATTAGGCTAACAACAAAAATTTGCATATTCGGAAAAAACTAATTATACTATCTTGTTCCTTACGTAAATATCTACAAACATGCAAATTTTTGTGTTCATCGGACAATCGACGGCCGAGATCATAGGGGGGCGCCCAGGCCCCCCCCCCCCCCCCCAGTCAGTGGGTGCTCAAAATAGCCCAGTACAGTAAGGGTTAAACAGATCGTCAATAGTTGCTACTACGTTCAACTCCGTTCGCACACAGTTTGAGCCCGTTTGGCAACATTTTCAAGAAAGTAGTGAAAACTGGTTTGTTGTGATAAAAGCTTAATCCCAAGCATCCGGTATTTTATTATCCTAGTAACTGGAAGAAATTGAAGACCGTGAAACAATAGGGGTAGCATGGGACCATTTTGTCTTTTGACATATTTTGACAAAGTTTTGGGAAATTTTGAAAATTGGCTGGAAAGTGAATTTTTACAATTTTGAACTGTTTAGATGCCCCTGTGGATGTATGATAAGCACTAGAAAATTTACCCTCTAAAACACTTCTGCTTTTGAGAAAAATTGAATATCAAAATTTACCGGTGCTCCCGGTAAATTTCGATAATTTTCAAATAGTGCCACACCTTTGTATCTTTGGAGAATCTACATATTTCACAGTTGGAAAATTTAATGAATGTATTTCAGCATTTGATTGTAAAACAAATATATCAATTATACACCTAAATTGTCGTAGTTTAACGAAGAATTTTGACAATCTATCTCTATATTTAAATGGTTTTGATAGACAATTTAGTATTATTGCATTGTCGGAAACATGGTTGAAAAAATCACATCCTAATCTATGTCAACTCAATAATTACTCTTTTATCAGTCAGGAAAGAGAAAATAGACGCGGTGGTGGCGTTGGTTTTTTTTATCTTGAATAATCTGAATTACAGTATAATGCATAATCTCAATATAAACAATGAATATTGTGAAGCTATATTTTTGAAAATCAACGAGAATGTTATTATCGGCTGTGTATATAGACCACCTGGTCAACCAATTAATGATTTTTTGAATATTTTACAAAATACTCTCCAACATATTCCACGTTCCATGTCATGTTATTTCTTTGGAGACTATAATATAAATCTTTTATCGTCTGAGGGCAATCTTTTCAATAATGAATTCATAAATATGTTTTGTTCTTTTTCATTTTACCCAGTTATTGATAAGCCCACCCGCATAACGAAAGATTCTGCTACATTAATTGACAACATGTTTACAAATAAGCCTGATACGGTCAGGGAAAGTGGCATTCTCTTTGGAGACATTAGTGATCATTTGCCCATATTTAGCGTTATTTCACCAAGTTGTATATTTTCTAACTCTGACAATGTAAACAGTTTTAAACGTGTAGTCAATGATTATAATATTGCAATATTTTGTAGACATTTAAGGGATTTTGACTGGAATCTTCGTGTGACAAATGTAAATGACATGTTCAAAGACTTTGTGGATATTTTTCTAGATATATACGACAAGTGTTTCCCTCTCAAAAAATCAAAAAATATGAACAATCGGAAGAACAAGGCTTGGTTCACAAAAGAACTAAAAAAAATGTGTAAAAAAAGACAAACTTTATACAAAAAATTTATATCACGCCGAACAGTAATTGATGAAAGAATTTACAAGTCATTCCGTAACAAATGCACAAAGGCAATACAAAAAACAAAACAACAATATTTTCAATCTAAATTTTGTGCCGTTACAGGGAATTCCAAGGCTACTTGGAAAGAAATTAATACGGTTTTAAATAGAACTAAAATTTAAAAAAATATCCCTTCCAAAATTGTAAATGACAATAATGACATATCTCACCCAAGGGAAATGGCTAACGAATTTAATAAATATTTCATTTCGATAGGCCCCAATTTACAAAAGAAACTGGATGATCCCCATGATACATGTAATAAACATTTCTCCAAATATCTTTCAAATCCTTGTTCTTCTTCAATATTTTTTCAACCGATTGTTGAAAGTGAAATTATATCCATTGTTGACAAATTTAAAAATGATACTTCTTCTGGTTTCGACCACATAGATGTAAAAGTAGTTAAGAAAGTAATACCGTTTATTTGTAAACCATTGAGTCAAATTTTTAACATGTCAATGTCGACAGGTCTTGTTCCTGATAATCTCAAAATAGCTAAAGTTTTACCAGTTTTTAAATCGGGGTCAAAAGAATGTATGTCGAATTATAGACCAATTTCTGTACTTACTGTTTTCTCAAAAATAATCGAAAAATGTGTTTTCAGTAGAATTTCCAATTTTTTATCTTCCAACAACTTATTAAATAGCACTCAATATGGATTTAGAGAGGGTTTGTCAACATCATTAGCAATTACAAAATTCACTCAAGATATTACAAATTCCATTGAAATTAAAAAAACAACAGTCGGTGTATTTTTAGATATGTCAAAAGCATTTGATACAATAGACCATAATATTTTAATACAAAAATTATATCATATTGGCATACGAGGTGTTCCCCATAAATGGATTGAAAATTATCTTAGCAATAGAAAACAATATGTTACAATTAATTCTACAGACTCAAATATGCTCAATGTTGTTTGCGGGGTTCCACAGGGTTCTATCCTCGGCCCATTATTATTTCTAATTGACATAAATGATATTCAGTGTTCATCAAATGTCCTAAGTTTTATACAGTTTGCCGACGATACAAGTATTTTTTTTACGCATAAAGATATTCCCCTTATTAATACCACGTTTAATAAAGAATTACAAAATGTATATCAGTGGTTAGAATGTAATAAGTTAATTATAAATATGTCTAAAACTAACTATATGGTTTTTAGCAATATGAATTATAATATTGATGATATAAGAATCCATATGGACAAATCCCAACTATTACATACAAATCATACCAAATTTTTAGGTGTTCATATAGATGAATCCATGTCTTGGAAATATCATTTAGGAGATGTTTGTTCTAAAATTTCTCAAGTTGTTGGTATCCTATATCGCCTGCGCAATTTATTACCCGAAAAAATTCTTCTTACTATTTACAATACCCTTTTCCTACCCCACATATCATACTGTAATATAAATTGGGGTGGCTGTCCTAAGTCATATTCTGATAGAGTCTTTAAACTACAGAAAAAAGCCATTCGCCTGATATCAAAATCCTCGTATAACTCTCATTCTGCTCCGCTATTTCATAAGCTCAATGTATTAAGCCTATCCGATATTTGTCAGCTACAAACTGGCATGTTCATGTATAAATGTAAAAATCGCTTATTCCCTCGTTATATTACTGATCTATTTCCTATAAATGCAAGTATTCACTCTTATCAAACTCGGTCTTCTAATGATTTTCATTTCCCCAAAATACGTACGTCCTATGCAAAATCTACTTTATTTTTTACCGGCCCAAAACTGTGGAGTTCTTTACCAAATGAAATAAAAAAACTCAGTGTCACTCCAATCTTTCAAACGCAAACTAAAAAAACACTTGATAAATTCATACCGTAATCAACTACAACGTTAGTAGAGCTTCTTAACCCGTCCTTTCTTTCTTTATATACAAATTTACTTTGCTTTTTTTTTTTGTTTAACGCAATTATTCAATTGTTATTTAATGTATTAAGATTATATTTAATTGATCATGATGGGTGCCAACGCACTTAAGACTATTTTTCTGTCTTCCAGTTGGCTCCCTCCGCAATAATAACATGTTCTATATCACTACACTTTAATCAATCACTTATGCTCATTTTCCTCTTTGTCAATGTTACTGTAAATGTTCACATTTTGTTTTGGTATTTGTTGTTGTTATTGTATATACATGTATATATCTGTTATATGTAATGTACATCTTTGTACTTTTATTATTGTGGAAAATAAATGAATGAAAATGAATGAATACAATGGTAGCTGCGACCATGAAATTCTCAGAATATGTAGTTCTGATATATAATTTCCAAACGGGAATAGCCAATCGGTCGATTTTATTCAAGAAACACTGTTTTATAGCTTAATTAATATCTTGACCTTGAGAGGGGGCTATACAACAAAACAAGTTTATTATTTACGATTTCATCGCTTAGGCTCGATTTCAAGCGCGACAACGATCACTGAATATTGTAGGATCGTACGATATGTTTCCAAAATGTTCATTTGAACCACATTCATGACCCCATACCAAAACTTTGTAATACCTTTAAAATTCAATTGATGTGACAAGGAAACCACTTCTTTGACCAAATTTGCCGTTGAGAGTAAATGTCAATGTCAGTTTAAATGGTCTCAGCAGTAAAAAAAAAAACACGCCCGAGGCTGCAGGCGATTAATCAGATAATTTCTTTGTCAACGTGACCATGTCCAAATGTCTGACAGCGCAGTGCATTTCATGGACTAAGAGCGATTTTTTTTTTTTTTTTAGGAGAGACAGATCGCGGGAGAGAGAGAAGCGAAAACATTTGAATATCTTTAGATTTCTATCAATTCTTAAAGTGCATTCTGTAACCTTTCCGGCACGCGATATTAGGGACTTTTAGATTTGCACGTCGACATAGTGGACTGCTACGTGTGACGTCTTTTTAAGGCACTGTGACGTCCTTTTAGATCACGGCTGGAATGGGGATTAACAGAACAATGGATTTTGAGGGGGGCATTCTGGCAGCATTCCCAAAGCAAGTTGAATAAATCTGTGGCGCCTTAGTTTAGATAGAAAAACAAAACAAATAGAGCTTAAGCCCTCTCAGTGGAACTTGGGTTTGAGGATTAAAGCCTTATCAAAGGGCACGAGCGAGTTGACATGGTTTTGAACCCGGGACCTTTCGCTAACGAGATCACTGCTCTTCCACTGCTCTTCCACTGATCCATGTTTTGTGAATAATTATAGCATTCATCTGATTCGTGCTTACTTTGGTCGGTCTCTGCCACAATCACTGCCTTCTGACCCGAGTGCTGCACAGACTCTTCAACAATCACTGCCTTCTGACTTGAGTGCTGCACAAACCCTTGAAGGGCTTTACTTGTTGGACGGGGTGTTATCTCTGACAATGTGGGGTGAAAGAGATGTCTGATGTATTCACGTTGTTGCCAAACATCCATTTGCCTCAACTCTTCTGACCTTTCATTCCAGTGTAGTTTCTTGTTAAAAAAATGGTTCTGGGAGTAAGATAATGCAAAACTCTTTCAAACAATAATTAAACGATGGTATTTTGTATTCTCTCTCCCCCTCTCTCTCTTGCTCCTTCACAAACACACGCACACGCACTCACAAGCACACACACTGGCCTTTAGACGAGTTCTTAAATCATAATAATTTATAAACCTTAAAGCTTTTCCCCTTGAATAATGAGTACTAACTACAAACAAAATTAAAAAGATTTGAATTCGTCACTTTGACGTAGTAGGTGATACGTATGCGGTAACCCGACACATGCTCCGCCGACGATTGCTCCGCCGACATTTACTCCGCAAAACGCGACAATTGCTCCGCGACATTTGCTCCGCGACATTTGCTCCGACGTCAAATGCTCCGCCGACAGTTGCTCCGCCGACAGTTGCTCCGCCGACAGTTGCTCCGCCGACAATTGCTCCGCCGACAGATGCTCCGCCGACAATTGCTCCGCCGACAGATGCTCCGTCGACAATTGCTCCGCCGTCAATTGCTCCGCAAAACGCGACAATTGCTCCGCCGACATTTGCTCCGCCGACATTTGCTCCGCCTGAAGCGACACTTGCTCCGCCGACATTTGCTCCGCCGACAATTGCTCCGCCGACAATTGCTCCGCCTGAAGCGACAATTGCTCCGCCGACATTTGCTCCGCCTGAAGCGACAATTGCTCCGCCGACATTTGCTCCGCCGACAATTGCTCCGCCGACAATTGCTCCGCCTGAAGCGACAATTGCTCCGCCGACATTTGCTCCGCCGACATTTGCTCCACCGACATTTGCTCCGCCGACAATTGCTCCGCCGACAATTGCTCCGCCTGAAGCGACAATTGCTCCGCCGACATTTGCTCCGACGACATTTGCTCCGCCCAAAAAGTGTCCCATAAACTACAAATGCTACTAGTACTACGACAAATGCTTCGCCGACAATATTTTCTTTACACCTATTTTTTTCGTTTCTTTTTTTCTTCTTCATTTTCTGAATGCATTTCTTGAAATAATGTAGATGAAATGAAATGAATGAATGTTGATGAAGTGGGAGGAAAAAGGAGTTACCTAAAAGTCATTTCGAATATACTGAAATAACTTTCCATCTATCACTGTACGTCCCATATAATGTATACTAAACACTCATTACATGTCGTGGGAAGTTTTTAAAAAAAAGTAGAGCAGCAAGCCACATTCCCCAATACGCGCATACCTCCTAGTTAATTTCAAGTAGCTCATCAATATGTAATACCTGAAATTACCTCGATCAATGCATCTTACTAGGTAAAGCATTATACAATGTAATAGGTCATCATGGAAGTTTAGAAAATAAGTAAGAGGGATTTACCAAGTGTTGATCTTTTTAAGAGTTTTATAAAGAAACAAAAAGATATTGAATATTTCTCAGCGAAAAAAAGGAACAAGCTTGTTTCGCATTTTAAGAAATGGCGATTTGACTTATGATACTCATGTTGATTTAACTTTTATTCCTGTGCCCCCTCACTCCCCTTTATGCACTGGAGTTCAAACTATGATTTATATGTGTACAGTGTATTTTTTTTTACTATAATGTTTTTTTTTATAACTTTCTTGTCCTTTCATTATTGTTAGTTGTTCTTATACATATTGGTTTTTTTGTTTGTCTAATTATTACCAATGACTTGTAAATATGTAATTTTAATATGATTGAAAATTTAATAAACACACAAATATAAAAAAAAAAGTTTAGAAAATAAGGGCACTTATATACGTAAGGAAGAGAACCCATTCAGACGGGAAAATGAGATGGCAGCCTTTCTGCTTATTCACATTTATACAAATCATTTTGTTGCAGTTTGATGTTAGTTCTTCATGATAAGCCAATTGCTCTTCTTCCGGTGGCTTCGTGAGTCCCTTAAATTATTTAGTGAAAACAAAGTACTCGAATGAAACGGAGTGTTTTGCACACTAACATATATATATTAAAGCTACATACACTTAACTAAAGGAAAGAAACCTTTAGAAAATGGACTGGATATTATTGAAAATATTATTCTAAACAAGAATGTACTACATGATTGTATTACTTTACGTTTCAATTTCACGAGAGAAATAGAACTCGAGAGGGGGAGCAGAGAAGAAGTGGTGGAAATGAAAGAAGACTAATAGCATGAGAGGAAAGAAAAGAGCAAAGAAGACAAGAAAACGGTGTAAACAGGAAAAGGAGGAGCATGGGAGAGGGAGAAAGAGAGAGAGAGAGAGAGATAGCCTTGAGCTTTGGATCAGCTAATGAGTAATACATGAAACAGATTTTGAGCGGAGTAATTATCTTTCGCCGGAGAACTTGCGTAAGGAGCTATAATTTTATTTTTTATTTTTTTAAATCAAACATTATGGGGAATAGCAAAAAACGGTTGTCTTTTTTGCTCTTTTCTTTCCTCTCATGTTATTAGTCTTCTTTCATTGAGGTAATTTCAGGTCTTACATATTGATGAGCTCTTTGAAATTAACTAGGAGGTATGCGCGTATTGGGGAATGTGGCTTGCTGCTCTACTTTAAAAAAAAAAACTTCCCATGACATGTAATGAGTGTTTAGTATACATTATGTGGGACGTACAGTGATAGATGGAAAGTTATTTCAGTATATTCGAAATGACTTTTAGGCAACTGCTTTTTCCTCCCACATTATCAACATTCATTCATTTCATTTCATTTACATAATGTCATGAAATGCATTCAAAAAATGAAGAAAAAAAGAAAGAAACAAAAACAACCCGTGAAAAAAAAATATTGTCGGCGAAGCATTTGTCGTAGTACTGGTGCCAGGTAAAAATGTCAGAGGTAAAAATGTCAGAGGAAAAAATGTCAGAGGTAAAAATGTTAGAGGTAAAAATGTCAGAGGTAAAAATGTCAGAGGTAAAAATGTCAGAGGTAAAAATGTCAGAGGAAAAAATGTCAGAGGTAAAAATGTTAGAGGTAAAAATGTCAGAGGTAAAAATGTCAGAGGTAAAAATGTCAGAGGTAAAAATGTCAGAGGTAAAAATGTCAGAGGAAAAAATGTCAGAGGTAAAAATGTCAGAGGAAAAAATGTTAGAGGTAAAAATGTCAGAGGTAAAAATGTCAGAGGTAAAAATGTCAGAGGTAAAAATATCAGAGGTAAAAATGTACAAGCAAAAAAAAATGAGTGCCGTTTTAATATCTCAGCACTTTTATCACACAGAATGTCGAGACGTAGAGCTACTGCATGGGCTTGTCTATTATATTCCTTTCTTCAATAATGTAAATTGTATAAATGGCTGTTTGTTGTATTTCGTACATGTCCTGAGGATAATACAATGTGGAAAATAGATTTTGAAATTTATTTTTTTGTGATCAGGCTTGCATATAATTATATTATGTATGAATGTCTAACATTTTTTGATATTTTGAATTGGTTGATGTGTTAATGTTTGTGAAACGGACCGGTTTGGCCGGTGGCAGCCTACAACCTAGCCCGTGTAACGTCCCAGAGACGAAAAAAGTCCAAACGAAGAAATGAAAGTTCTCGACAAAAGTCAAGTGTTAAAGTGAGTAGTGCATTTAGTGCAAATAATTACATATAATCACGAGGAATCACGAAAACACGAAAAATTTTATCAAAATGATAAAAACTTTGGCCCAGTCTTGGTAAAGTCACAAGCACTGTACACAGAAAGATATTGATATGGGACTACACAAACATATGGCAAATCAAATCAGGCCTCATTTTAAAGCCGTTACTTGTCATACCTGGGATATGAAGTCATTTGAAATAGATTTTCAGGGAATAACTTTTTTCTTTGATGTTCTTCCACATTTGCATAACAAGAATGATAACAAACGCTCACAAATTATTGTTCACCTTTCCCCAGAACTCAACCTTCTCTTTAATTGATGTAACATGGTCGGCTTTCTGCTTTTTATCGGAGTAACAAAGCTGCTTATTGATTTTCTCCCAGACTATTTTATACCGCAATAGTAATCGACAATATTTTATTGGAACGCGCGCACTTCGGGAATGTGATGGGTTAGCATTGATAACATGGCTTTCTGCTTTGTTTCAGAGTATCAAAATACCAAGCCCACAAGAAAGTGGAATTGTCGGAAATATGCATTTATTGGAAATTACATATAATAGTAGTCATTGCCACGCAGTTAAAATGTCCAACAATCTTCAAAAGTGAAGGAGAAGTGGGGGGCGGGGGGGGGGGGAGGTTCATTCATTTCTTCTCGTTCTGCACATTACTTCCTCCTCATTATTCTGAGCAACCTTTACATTCTTTCTTTACTGAGCGATTCTGTTTTTGGTGCTTTTTTGTACAGGCGCGGATCCACGGGCCGATTCTAACGGCCCGCCCCCCTAGCCTCCCAAACCGGTAAAAAAGTAGGATAATAACGTAAATTTAACTTAACAACCCCCTCCCCCTGACCTGCCAGTGACGTAAATGCGGCATCAAAATATTTGTGCTTCTCTGACCGTAATTAAATGCCTAAAACCCCTGAGCTTCCGGGGCTCCACCCCCTGAGCCCCCCACACCAATTTACGCTCGCTACCCTCTACCTGATCGTAAATACTTTAGCCCCCCCCCCCCCCCCACTTTGATAATCAATTTTGGCACAAAAGTCGTACGGGGGCTGTTTCAGTGACATACCGTACCACACTATGACATATCTTCTTCTCCCCTTGCATTAAAGAATGGAACAGTCTGCCTGATGATATAAAAAATAGTACAACTCTTTCTAGGTTTAAAAGGTTATCTAAAACGTACCTACTTGAAAGACTGACATAGTTTTTATTTGCATCTTAGTATTTTCTTATTCTGAAATGTTTTTTGACCACTAAGGACCTACTTGTCAGTGTGTGTGTGTGTGTGTGGGTGTGTGCGTGT